TTTTGCACCTCTTCGTTTGATTACTGTAACCATGCTTCTTATGTGCATATTGTGTTTTGGGGAGGGGGGGGGGGTCAACATATTTACCTGTTTTTACTAATAACATGTGTTATTTATATTTATATACTTCTGTTGCTATCCGTCCTCTCTTGAGTGGTTTGTATGTTGCAATTGGATAACATTTGCTGGGTTCGTTTACAAATTGAATTTATCTTGTTTACCCGCTGCCCCACTCCCCCCCACCTTTCTTTCTTATTTTTGTATACTTCAAGTAGATTTCCTATGTTTCAATAGAAAATCGTCTAAAAGACGAAGAGGAGATTAAATTGATGTGTTTCCACTTAATACTTGTTGAGGGCTTGGTCAATGTTTATTTCTCTCTTGTTTTCGTTGTCATCATCGTCAGTGTAAGATAACCACTTCACAATACCAGGCAATTAGAATAAATTTTGAATAGACTAAAGAGATTACCAACTATCTAAAGTATTATCTGCTTACAATATTGACCTAGCAACCAATGTTTAATATAATTTAAAATAAACATTTTCAAAACATTAGAAACTTGTTCACAAGTGGTGTAATGAATATAAGTCTCGATTTATTTCACTTGATGATGATGATGATGATGATGATGACTATGACACAGTAACTAGGGTGAACAAAGAGTGTGAAAGAGATTATTAGCATCATCATATTGATCATTATTTTGATTATTTGAGTATCGACCTTGGGTGATAATTTCTCAATTGATAGAGCATCGAACCGAAAACTCGATGGTCGCTGGTTCGAATCCCGTCGTGGTTCAATTTTTCATTTCACTTTGAATCATCTATCACCTAGTATTAATGGAGAATGACCTTTTTGTAATAGAATTATTTGTCCCAAAGAATCTTCAACGTCTATAAAATTGTATATTTTTCAGTCGAAATTTCATATACATTGTCTGTCTTATTGCTCTCTCTCCGCCCCGTACAATAATACCCATAATCATCGAATCGTGGTTATACTTTATAATTAGTTCAGTTTCGCAAAACAACTAAGAAGAAAACATGAAAATGAAATGCTACATAATAACTATGTCCACATTTGTACAGTGGACTATGTAGTATACCTGTTGCACCTGGTTATCTAGACTTCAGTGGGTGGAATGGGCTTCGAACCCATGAGCCATCGGTAGAAAGTTCAGTGGCTAGACCGATGAACCACGGCTGTGCACAATCAGAAAGTTCAACAATAACTGGTACCTAATAAAGAAGAAGGGTCTATCATAAATAATTTAATTGTCTGGTGGATGACAATCTAGTGTTCAAAGCTTCTCGAACTACCTACCGGCTGTGACGAATGCCCTTTAAAAGTAGGAGATTTGAAGCGGTTACCAGTCGTTGACCATAGATATCTTTGTAGTATTGCTCACATATGGTGGAATCACTGTATGAGAGGTCAGGCGAAGGGTACTTGGCTAGACAGACAAGTCAGTCGATGAGGTTGTGAACCTTCAATGACGGAGATATCCTGAAAATGTAATGCTCATGCTGAAACATGGCCTACCACAACCCGCAGTGCTAGATGAAGTTGAATTACGTTAGAAGATGGCTTAAGGTAGCTAGACCAAGATCTAACATCAGTCCATGAACTTTCTGACTGTTATTCTGAGCTGTGTAGGAATGTGTAGACTAGCTGTCTCAGGTTGGTAGTAAGATATTCTTACTCACACCTGAAATCTCTAGCTAGAAAGCTGGTGTTATCAGTAATTATTCCTTGCATTCGCGTACTCGGTTTCTTTATCACCGGTTTATTCATTGGAACTGAGGACGAATTATAGGACTTATGTATGATGGGAATACTTCACCTAGGGAAAGAACTATGATCCAGTCACAAAATCATTATTGTCCCTACACCCACCTAAGGAATACTACTTTTGATGTCACTAATATTTTCTAGTATATTATGGCCGTTTTTTTTTTCTGGAAGAGGAACGTTTGCACGTTCATCTATTGAAGTAGCTTACATGTCTTTTGCTCATAGTAAGTCACTACCTTAGTTCACTTACATTACTGAATGCATAATGTATAGCGCTAATATATCACATTTTTCAGATAATCTACGTTTTCTAATTACATTATCCAAATTCATAAAAGGGACTAATTATTTCGCATAAAGTTTTGTTTAAAATAACTCCTTCATAAGCTGAGGTGGCTTAAGCATGTCTTGCACATACCTATCCACCTCCTCGTCGTAACAGTTTTTTGTAGTTTTTTATTTTTTCTTACTCATTTCCCTGCGTCTTTTATCATGATAGTTGATGATTATTTACATTTATAACAAGACGAGTAATCATATTTCAGAAATATCTTGGTGCGAATACAAAAGACCGAACTGACTTTTGTCATGTCTATGGTACTGCTGTGATATTCTATTGTTTATTAAGAGTAGAGTTTACTGTCGTTCAGTTCTCCATGTCTTTGAAAAATGACCTTAAAATCTAGAGAATACGAAAAGGCTGCATGTAATCAACCATCGTCACCTTCGTGGCGTGGGATGTGTCATGGTATCATCACGTTTCAGTAGCTTAGAAGTCAGGTAGAGAGTTTTAGACAGAAAAAGGAAAGTTAGTTGATGCTGTAAACAACGTTCATTGACTCAAATATCTGAAACATGTATTCCACTAACCCAGTTATCGTATACTCCACTACGTGTTATATTACCTGAAATGCCTTCAAAATGATATCAGATTTAAAGTGACCAGACTTCATGTAGTCCTTTTCTGTCAATCTCAGCTGTATTGGGAAATATAGACTTAATCGTTGGGATCCATGTGAAAACAAAAGTTGGTGATATGCCTTAGGATCGATCTCGATGACGCCGATTTTAATGTCTTCTCATGTCTTTTTCCTTTCTTCTGCTTTTAACTGCTTTCTGCTTTACTTCTCCATCTTTCATCTTGATGAATTCTCTCTTGATATGTTAAAACGCGTAGTAACCACAGAGATTGTTACGCAATAATGTCATGTGTTACATTGATGTTGACTAACTGAATGTCCTTATTACAGATTGATTATAATATTTGAGTTAAAAACGTCATGGCCTTGTTTTTAAAGTGAAACTTCTATTCTCTGATATCAGGTGATAACATTAGAGTGGCACGAACAATTTGTTCTCGAAGTACACTATGAATGATTTAAACAGTTGTTCCGCGTTTCTTAACCACTACAAAATGTTTCAAGTTGTTATTCATCGTGGACTGACATCAGTTGGAGGAATAAAGCAAACCTGAAAGTACTGGACAGCTGTTTTGTCTGACTAGTATGGGACTCTTCAACAGTGCGCACCCACGACCCCACCCCACCAGGGATGGATCGCGTGACCTTCAGGTTCCGCGGCCAGCACGTTACCATCGAGCTAGCCACTGAGTCAATGGAATCCAATAATCCATATTTCCAACTTCTGTTAGCTCACGATGTAGCTCAACCGCCACCCAACGTCATCGTTGAGTAACTGTCCTCACGACCATCAGGCTTTGACTCCACCGGTCACGACTTCTCATTGGAACTTCGAGAATACTTCTCGAAGCTAGTCACCAATGAACACCAGTTCCATTGAATTTTTGAGGGAGTTGTGGAGATTTGTAAATATTTCAAGTTGTTATTCATCATAGACTGACATCAGTTGGAGGAATAAAAGGAACCTGAAAGTATTGGACAGCTGTTTTGTCCGACTAGCATGGGACTCTTCAGCAGTGCGCACCCACGACCGCGCACCACCAGGGATCGAACCCGCGACCTTTGTAAATAGAACTGATAGTTGGTGCGTAAATAAGAATCCCATTTCTCTCGGATAGCATTTGTTATATTGAACACTACTACATGCTATCTTAATCGAATGATCGAAATTTCCTCTTTCTGTTGTGCATTTCAGAAAGTTGTTCCTTGGTGGGATTGATTGGATAAGGATTTAACTGAAAACATTTGATTTTGCAGTGAAAAAAAAACCCACAAAATCACTCAACATCTCAGAGTGGAGTTATATTACCGGTTGTGCTGGAGTGTAAGATCATGAAAATACTACCTCACATTTATTGGAAGAAAGGGGTTAGAGGCGGCAACTATGTGGTCATATTGTTAAATTTATCTGATCAATGTTGGTAATTCAATATAGAGGTTTGTTGATTTCTCGTTTGTATTCATCATCATCGTCATAGCCAGGATCGGAACAACAAGACAAGCCTTCATTAATCTGAAATGAGTATGGAGATCTACTGCACTCAGTATGTGGAACAAGATCCAGATTTTCAACACTAAAACATTTCCAACAAACTGTAGACATACATCATCAACAGCTGCCACTTACGCTCACTTCATACTGAAGATGGAGATGGCAACAAGAAACTCCGGCCTGGCAACGAACCAACCAACATCCTATCGTCCAACAAATATGCCCTGGAAGGAAGTGGAGATGGATTGGATCGGGCATACACTGAGAAGACGGTTTGGGGACATAACACGCTAGACCAGGCTGTCAAGTGGAACCCAGATGGAAAGCAACGAGTTGGGCGTCCCAGCTGTGGGTGACATGGAGGAGATGGTGTGAGGAAGAAATGAAAGCTTCTAGGCAGTTGTCGAGCAAGATTGAAGAGAAGAGAGTGAAATGGAGACGTACTACTGAAGCCGTCTGTCTCACTAGGAATCCAAAGGACAAATAGTAATAATAACAATTCATCATGGACTGACACCGGTTGGTTAGATGTGTGCTGCTAAGCAGTCTCACATTAGTGAGACGAAACAGATGTCCAGTATCCCCAGATTTTCAATGTTTCTGGCATTAAAATATTATTGAATAGCAAAGTTTTCAATTAACTTAAAGTTTTATATTTCATTCGAACTCTACCTTCATAATCTAACGTTTTAAAAAAAAGCCAATTAAACAGTATGAAATGGACTAACAATGCATAAATAAAATAACATGGTTCTGTTTTTCTTCTTATTATCTCTACAATTTTCTAGGGTGGTTACTTTCAGAATACTCGATTCTGGCTTATTACGCCCAATCAACAGTATATATTATTGAAGTTACAAAGATCTCGGTATGTTAATCATTTTATTTCTTCTTTCACCTGTTAATTAATTAATTAAGCACACTGAAGTGTTTTATAAGATAATTTTGGGGCATAGATTTCACCTAGTTAGCTTATAAGTGTAATTATTTATCCCTTGGGTTCCTAATGGAACATAGGGCTTCAGTAGTGCGTCTCTAGTGTACTCTGTTCTCTGCAAACTTTTGAAACTGGTTCCATGACTGCCCATAAGCTCTCATTTCTGCCTCACACAATCTCCTCCATGTGACCGTAGGATACCCAACTCGTCGTTTCCCATCTGAGTTCCACTCGAGGGCCTGGTGCATGATGTCACCAGTCGGTCTTCTCAGTGTATGCCCAATCTATCTCCACTTCCTTCTGCAAGTGTAATCATAACTTGATAAAATTGTAATTTTTAAAATAATATGCGTTTTGTATTATCTAAGCGTCATAAATCTAATATACCTCTAAAGTCTACCAATGTCAATCACGAAATGGTTAACACAGTTTCTACAGTCTATCTAGAGTAAGTGTTGGTGATCCACAGTTTATAAGATCCATTTGAATGTTTTCACTATGTGACTTCTTTATTGACAAATATACTAGTGAGTGAAACAATTGATGTAATCTACCAACAAACTGATCTACTTACCCTTGCCTGAACTCGAAATGAAACCAACTCTACTACTGTTCTACACAAAATATGTCCAGTTCCAATTCAATAACCACATTTATAAACAGATTGATAGAAGGATTATGGGCACACCTCTAGGAGATATCTTCATAGGTTATAAACAACCTGTTACTACTACAGGTACGCACGCTGACGATAGGATAGCTTTCTTGTTTGTCATGATACGAAGTATGCAAGTGAGTTGTTTGACACGCTCAACAAGGTTCATTCTAACATAAAATGAGCATGAAAACGAGTTCCGTTACTTGGATCTTGATGTGAGAGGAAGAAATGATGGTAGGAATGATAAGACCATCCATAGGAAAGAAATATGGATTGGACAATATCAGCTGTAACCCTTGGCTAGTCAACAGAGCTAGGAAATTATGTTCTGCGAACAAGTTAGTGGAAGAACTAAACATTATTGAGAAGTGTCTCCTAGAGAATGAATATCCTACGAGATTTATTATGAAGTATGGAGAAGAATAGATGAAGAGAAATAAACATTCAACTGTTGAGACGATGAAGGACTTTATGTACCTTACATTCAAGGCAGATGTAATATCCAAGCGAATAGACTCAAGAATCAAAGGAACACTGTGAAGAAGGAACTTTCCAGCGGATAAACTTCTATCAGTATACAATACCACATAATCACTGAACCAGTCAAAACTGGACTATTACCCTACTCATGTCACCTTCAACTATATTTATGAATTCACATGCACTCACGGTGAGAAGTATATTGAAAGGACTGAGTGAGGAGGACATCCATTCTGTTCGCTGATCTATGCATGTAGGGAAGCAAGATTCTAACCATTGCAATTGCTAGACACCTTACAGATACAGGTGATCAAGTTGATGATACTTCGAGTGTTTTCAAAATAATAAACGTACAAAGAATGTCTTGAATAACTGAGCTTCGCCGAAGCTATCTGTCTCTGTAGAACAGAAAGAGAGTATGGTTAATCTCTCATTCTGTTAGTGACTATGATTTCATCCTGTTTCATTTTAATTGCATAACTGTTTGAGACGAATGGCAATTTGACTTTAGAGATAGTATTCATCACGGACTGACATCAATTGGCGAACTATTGAGATCTTTGGAGCACTGGATCGTATCTGTTTCGTCCTAATTTGCGATTCCTCAGCAGTTCGCAGCCACGACTCCACCATACAATGGATTGAACCAAAAGTTTCAGGTTTCATGATGAATGAGTGGTTCGCAGTTTCCAACTTCTGTCAGTTCACAATATAGCGCGACTATCACCCAACGTCTTCAGTTGTCATCCGCTTCTCTTCTGACTAGTTGACCCCACAGGTCACAGCTTCTGAGGAGTCCCTATACTAGGATGAAACAGCTGCTGTCCAGTGCTCTCAGGTTTTCAATAGTTCCTCCATCTGATGTCAGTCCATGATGAATGCTACCTGTATATAACCCTTCATTTATTGACTTTTTTTTCTTGCTTACATTTCTTATTATATGGTTTTGCAATGATTTCGATTTGCTAATAATTATTGTATTCGACTGAAGAGTATTCGTGAAATAAAATGATGATATCATATTTTATACTTGGTTTGTCTAAAGACATTCTACTGAAACTTACGACTGTATACTTTTCTGCATACTCGGGTACAGCAAAACCTGAGAAAACTAGGCAGAATTTTGACCCAACTGTGGGTGTATCGACCAAATATTCACACTGCGCCAGGTTTTGGAACACAGGCACGCTTACCGACACCTGACAAAAGTTGTATTTCTCGACGTGAAGGCGGCATTTGACTCCATTGATCGGGAAGTCTTCTGGCAGTGTCTCTCACTGAAAGGTGTGCCGAGTAAGTACATCACCGTATTGAAGGCTCTCCACTCGAACGCTTATGGGCGTGTTAGAGCCTCTGGTGAGATGAGCAGAGAGCTATGCTAATCGAGTGGTGTCCGTCAAGGATGCCTACTGTCTCAATTCTTATTCAATTTTATTATAGATATTCTCATGGTCTTCCTCTCGTCACCTGACTACACAGAGGTTGACCTAATCGGTGGAGAATTTTCATTAGACCTAGAATATGCAGATGACATAGTCCTGTTAATCCTATGAAGACGCTGACAAGATGCAGAGTCTTGTGGACACTTTGAGTGGGAATTTGGGAATGTTTGGGATGCGTTTCTCACCACCCGAATGCAAATTATTGCTCCATGATTGGCCTTCAACGGTAACCCGACTAATAATACACAATGAAGTAGTGGTTCAATGCATTGAACACTTCAATTAACTGCCAACTCCGATCAACCCTGCTGCGTTAGTTATTTAGTTAGTTAGTTAGTTAGACGAAATCTCTTCACAGATACAAAAGACTCACCTAGTTGGCTTTTGTCAATTTACACCATCTGTCGCGTCACCGTGATATCCCATTATCTACTAAGAATCAAATGTACTATGATGCAATCCGTTCTGTCCTACTGTATGGTTGTGAAACATCACCATCAAAGATATAAGACATGAGAAGGTTCTTCAGATGTTTGACCACCATTGCCTTCGTAGTACAGGTCGTATTCCGTGGTGTTACCAAGTGAGTAACGCAGAAGTCAGATGTACAGATTTAGGCAGGAGAGGTAAGTCAGTTGGTTCAGCTTGGAAAGAGGCTGGAGGCAGCCAGATCAAAAAGTGGCATCAATGCACAAAGTGTTTGACTGTTGGTTTGAGCCATGTAGGATGGGTGCGATGCAGACTACGTGGTTGGGGTCGGCGGGACAAGAGAAACCACTGGTGGTCAGAGACTGAGTGTGGGTGATATTGGTGAGAACCGATGTCAGTGGCGCAGATGTATATACACATACATTATCCTCATTTTAACGACGCTATACCGAATCTCACCATTTGTTTCATTCTTCCTTTCTCTATCTCTTTTAGTACTCTATATTTTGTTTGACAGAATTTTCTTATTTTTATCTTCCACTTCACTACCCGTTTACTTGTTGTACTGATCTGAGCTGTGGCAACTCGGACATTACGCAGTAATGCCTGATCCTATATTGGTTTGGATGGATGGATGTTTGCTTCATTATCTACTGCACAAATGTACACAATGTTGCTGAATACATTTCGATTTTCGATTGTTTTTTCTCCATCCATCTCCATTGATAATTGAGTTACTGCAATAGCTTACTGATTGTCTACCATAAGTTTCGTTCGGATAGGTAGCAGTTAAACTCTGGAGATGCATTTTGTCCTATCCTTGAATTCATTATCCCAACTAAGAGGATAAATCAGGAATAGATTGAGATTTCTCCCCGTCACATTTTACAGTTCATCAGTTGGTTTTCTTTATTGAATGTGACTGACGTTTATTGATTTCCGCTTCTAATGATAATGAAAGAGGGTCGCTGTTGTTGTTGTGAGAAACATCTTAGTATACTGTAAGCAAGAATTCTCCTGTAGAAAACAAGCAGTTGGAAGAGGATAATATTGTCTCATTTGATTTCCAGTTGGTATTCACCATGAACTGACATCAGTTGGAGGAACATTCGAAACTACCTGGGAGCATTGTACAACTGTTTTGTCCTAGTGAGAGACTCCTCAGCAGTGTGCACGCATGACCCCGTCGACCTCACCAGGGATCGAACCCACGACTTTCAAGTTCCTTGGCCAGCACATTACCATTGAGCCACTGGGTCAGAATCCAATGGTCCATATTTCTAACTTCCATCACCTCACTATATAGTGCGACCATCACCCATTATCATTGTTGAGTATTTTTTCTCACGTCCATAAAGTTTACCCTACCGGCCACGACTTCTGAGTGAAACTTCAGGAATCGCCTCTCAAAGTTAGTCATAAATAAGAGTTAGATTAATTCGATCAGGTAGATTCTAGTCAACGACTTAAAATAGTCTCACTGATAACTTAACAAGCTTTTGTTCACAAAAAGAAAAGAAAATATTCGTTAGTAGTTAGGAGAGATAGAAATAGTGTGTAGTTACTGGTTAATCGTAATTGGTATTCCAAGGACGAAGAAGAAAGAAATCCACTCAATAACCTTGTGCAAATTCATGCCGTAAGTAACGGACCACACCTTGTTGTATGTTGGGTTAATGATACCATTATTTGACTACCTGAGCCTCTTCAGATGAAGCGGGTTTCGAACCAGTGGCTCACCAATAGTCAATTGCCTAAACGAATGAACTATAACTAAATTGTGACAAGATATCACCAAAAGTCAAGCAATTACATGCTTTTAACCATGTATATCTTCTTAAATGATTGGATCATCATGTGAGCACTGTTGAGGTCAGGTAAAAGATATTAGATCAATGAGGTTGTGAAACTTCATTGACTAAGGTGGTTTGGATATGTACTGTGCATGTCAATCCACCGCTTAGCCCGACGTACATTGCTAAGAGAAGTTGGAAGAGATTTCAGAGTGGTCAGATGAAGATGTTACACCAGTCCATGAAGTCTCTTACTATTGGTGTGTAGACTGTGTCTTTGGGGCATCCAAGATGATGATATACCTGAAAATCGGTTACAATGTCGCAGATGTATTAACACTAATATTTACCTTTAAATTGTTTATTCTCTCACACAACTTTGTCTACTATGATATCAGTTTTCTTTTTATCCACCTTTTGTTTTTGAAGTGTGTGACAAGTTGAACCCATCCACTTGTGTGTGTGTATGTGTAAGGTGTGAATACCTTGTTTTTATGTCGGTAACGAACCACGTCCGTGTGTGTCTGTGTGCTTAAACAACAGTACTTTATTTACCAGCTTAGTTTTTCCTCCCATATGATGATTCAAGGTGGGGTTCGAACCATCAGTCTGTGGATTACATACCGAAAGTTTAATCCCTTTCTCATCACGATCTTCATTTCAATATTTTTTTCTATTCTAAAGTCATTTATATCTTGAGTTTATTTCCTGTTAAAATTTTTTTCAAATTTTATTCACTTCCAGGATATTTAGTCATTCAGGTAATTACTCTACACTATATTATCAAAAGAAAACCGGTGGACAAATGTATGAATTTGAATCTGATGTAAGTGTTATTTGTATTTTTGATTTGTTTTGTTGAGAAAACTCTTCTAAATTCGTTATTCATAGAAATGAATGAACTACGAACTAAACACTTTGTATTCATCATGGACTGACATCAGTTGGGGAACCATTGAAAATCTAGGAGCACTTGACACATGTTCGATCGTAGTATAGGACTCCTGAGCAGTAGGCATCCACGATCCGGCTAGGGATGGAACTGAGGACCTTCAGGTTTCATGGCGAACGCATTAACCATTCAGCCACTGAGTCACTTTCCAGTGGTTCACAATTTCTAACTTCTGTCAATTCACGACATAGCACGACTGTCACCCAAGGTCTTCAGTTAGCATCTACTTCACTTCCGACTGGTTGGTCGTACAGGTCACGGCTTCTCATTACACCTTCGTGATATGCATCTGGAAGCAAGTAATGTATTTTTGAGATGAATGGGGATTTTTTTAAATTTCGAAGTAGTATTCATGATAGAGTGATGTCAGTTGGGGAACCATTGAAAATCTGGGAGAACTGATGTCAGTCCATGATGAATACTACTTCTAAAATAAAAAAAGTCCCCATTCATCTCAAAAATAAATACTTTGTACTTTACTAGGTTCTCAAAAATATAAGATGACCAAAGCTAACAACCTGTGAACGTAAGAAACGACCTTTATTGGAGGAATATTGAATACCTGGAACTTCTGGAAAACTGTTCACTTCCACTATAGGAGACTCCTTAGCAGTATGCACCCATGACTCCACCAGAGATTCAACTCAGGAATAAAGTGCTCAATTGGAGTGTTCTACACAACGTCAACCATATTGCAAAGCATCTTAGTATTCATGTGAAGGACAAAATTCCCCTTGGATTCTCAATCTAATTATGTTTATCTAAAAAAAATGCTTAGATTGCGATGCGAAATTTTACATGAAACCAAATTTAGGAAAATAAACACTGAAAGGCTCCCAATAAACCCTCTAGAAGTTCAATAGAGGTGAGAAAGCTTGAAAACATTTCATAGGACCGTGTATTACTACATAACGGTATAAGTTGCCACATCTCATATTACCACATCAAGTAAAAAGGCAATAAATTGGAAGATGAAGAAGGAAAGGAAAATCGATCGAAATAAAGTAGAAGGGTAGTAAAAGAGAAGTAGGATGAATGAGAAAATGATGAGATTATGTATGGCGTCATTGACATCGGTTCTGAGCCATATCACCTAGAGTCTCTTATCATGCCGACCCCAACCATGTAGTCTGCATTGCAGATGGTGGCTAAGCATACGTAACACATGTCACAGCCAGCCATCTCAGTCGATGAAGATTCACAACTGCACCAACTGACTTATCTCTCCTGCCTAAATCTGTACGTGTAACTTCTGCGTTACTTATTTGGTAACACCACGGAATACGACCTGTACTACGAAGGTAATGGTGGTCAAACATCTGAAGAGCCTTCTCATGTCTTATACCTTTGATGGTGATGTTTCACAACCATACAGTAGGACAGAACGGACTGCATCATAGTACATTTGATTCTTAATAGATAATGGGATAACACGGTGGCGCGACAGATGGTGTAAATTGACAAAAGCCAACTAGGTGAGTCTTTTGTATCTGTGAAGAGATTTCGTCTAACTAACTAACTAACTAAATAACTAACGCAGCAGGGTTGATCGGAGTTGGCAGTTAATTGAAGTGTTCAATGCATTGAACCACTACTTCATTGTGTATTATTAGTCGGGTTACCGTTGAAGGCCAATCATGGAGCAACAATTTGCATTCGGGTGGTGAGAAACTTCAATCATAACTCTAGATGCTATAATTTCAGATCACCAGGTCCACTTTGACAATACTGAAATTATTAAGAAAGATTTTCGAAATTATATGAAATAGTCTATATCAGAATCTCTTCATATAAAATGAAATCGAAATTTTCGAAATGGAAATGAGGGAATAACATATTGCTTGGATCTATCGGATGCCGATAAACCTTATCTCTGACTTAGTTTGTAGGCTGAAATGCCGCCCTAACTCCAACCTTGTTGTGAATTCTACGTAAATTCTCTGATGTTCCTTTCTTAGTCGAGATTTGGGACTTCTTTATACTTGTGCTTACGATGTTATTACTGTCCTACTGTCGTTATCTCATTTCTTATGCGTTCGTACAAATTTCTTCGTAAACTATTGAAGATGATTGTAACTATTAACGTTTCTTTTGATTGCTTCATTTTCTTGTTTAAATTCTTACAATGACTAGTGAGTTGTCTTAACTCTGTCATTTAAGACATTTGACTAAACGTGTCTTCACTGATGGAAATTGGATGAGATGACTTGAAGTCTAGATACCTGTTGGAATATGTCAATTTCCTTTAGACGCTAGTAATCTAGGCCATTTTTTCCCAACCACCCATAAGTATATCTACTACGATTGGAGATATTAGCAACCCTATTACTACTCCTTCTGTTTGTCTATGTATTTTCTCCTGAAACTTGAAGACTGCAAAGGTCAAGCAGAACTGTACGCCTAATATGATTTCATCAACCGATATGTTAGCTCTGTGAGCAATTTGATTTCTGACTGCCTTCAATGCCGTACTGATTGGTATTTTAGTCTAAAAACTTGTTACATCAAAACTAACTTGACTAGTCTACAATTTGGATGGTCTGTAGTAGGACGTACTGTCGATGTTAAGTACTTTGATAGTTCATATGTTGGGTTATTTCTGAAATCGACTATCATTCTATTGGAATATTCGTTCTCTGAAAAATGTAACTTGGCCTCCTTTTATGTCACCTTCACATACTGACATAACCAACCCATATGCGATAAGAACTATCAGTATATATATTATATATATATATATATATATATATATATATATATATATATATCAATCTGCAACTGGTACGCACGTTTCACACATAACAACACACTACATATAAAATCTCATTGTTAATCAACAATTTGATAACTTTGTGGTTTATAAGCATTTCAGTTGGAGAATCTGGAAGTATTGAACATCTGTTTCATCCTGGTGTGAGATTCCTCTGTAAAGAGTTGAAGATGGAATCTTCAAGTCTTCAATGATTCTTCAACTGATGTCATGACCTGATAAATACTGTCTGGAAATTGATTTTTTTTTTCTTTTTTACACTCATCTGGAAATGTAAATATTAAAATATAATGAAATTCAAGTTGTTATTCATCGAAGACTGACATCAGTTCGATGAATAACAACTTGAAATTATTCCAAATCTCCACAACCCCTCAAAATTTAATTGAACTAGTGCTCGTTGGTGACTAGCTTCGAGAAGTATTCCCGAAGTTCCAATGACAAGTCGTGACCGGTGGAGTCAAAGCCTGATGGCCGTGAGGACAAATACTCAACGATGACATTGGGTGGCGGTTTGCGCTATATCGTGAGCTAACAGAAGTTGGAAATATGGAGCATTGGATTCCACCGACCCAGTGGCTAGCTCAATGGTAACGCGCTGGTCGTGGAACCTGAAGGTGGCGGGTTCGATCCCTGGTGGTGGGGTCGTGGGTGCGCACTGCTGAGGAGTCCCATACTAGTCGGACGAAACAGCTGTCCAGTGCTCCCAGGTTCCTTTTATTCCTCCAACTGATGTCAGTCTTCGATGAATAACAACTTGAAATAATTCCAAATCTCCACAACCCCTCAAAATATAATGAAATTCATTGAATATACCCATTTAGATATTTAGAAAAAGACTGATTGAGTGGGTGAAGAAATGTATATTCCTTTTCAATTAGGTCCATCTTCATCTTAGGCTCTACACTAATATGCATAGGTTTACAATTAAATCAAATTACCAATCACATGATGATGTTTCGGAAATAATCATGTAAATAATTAATAATAGAGTTACTAAAGTAGGAAATATGAATGTTGATAGAAACAAGGGGAAGGAGAAGAGGTGTACAAAGTAAACCTAGAAGTTACATCATGTGGTGACGGTGGCCACAATAATGAAAGTGGTCGAATAAACTTCTTTTGGATACAAAGGCCTAGGTTTGTAAAGGTGGATTGGAATCATCCCTCCTATGTGAAGTAACCGAGTACGTAATCCATGAGGTAAATTAATTGGAATCTGATGGATGATTTTGAAGGCTTTTCCAGTAACCATTTGATATCCTGTGTATGGAGCTCTTTATAGTTCTAATTTGTCCCTTGTTCAACCATGGTGGATGGTGTTCAGAAATTCGACGATGGAACTGCCTCATTGTACGCCTAATGTAACTAGTTCCACAGGAATAGTTGAATTGATAAATGCACATAGAAGTGGCAGAATCAGGCAGTTCACCTTTATTTCTTGCACCTAGAATCGGGCGGTTGTAGAAGGCGGGACATAATTTACCGGGTGGGAATGCTTTATGCAAGACTCTTTTAATGCATTGTGTGATGATCTCACTGGCAATATCACTCTTAAATTGCAGCTTCAAAATGATTTGCTTCTTAGGAACTGTTGGCATTGTTGTCTTAACCCTTGTAATATTCATGTGTTTAGTTACAAACTTGTCTGGGTAGCCATTTCTACTAAGCAGATCATGGATGGTGGCGCACTTTTCCTTTATAGCATTCTCTGAGCAAATAGCTGAGGCACGGTATGCCAAGCATTTCACTAGATTCCTTTTGTATTGGATGGGTGCAGCACTAAAGAAGTGCATATATTGACCTGTTGATGTTGGCTTTCTATAAACACTTCTCTTCCTGGTTCCATCTGGCCTTCTTACCAACAGAACATCAAGAAATGGGATACTATCATTTTTCTCCTCTTCCATTGTGAAGTTGATTGCCGAGTGAACACTATTGAACTTATCCAGAATAGGATTCTTATCAGTCTCACTTTTGAGAACTATAAAGGTATCATCCATATAACGACAATATAACTCTAAACGGCTAATAGTATCGTCCAGTGGACCATTCTCAAGTTTTTCCTTTGTATTCAAAAGAAGTTTGTTCGACCACTTTCATTACCGTGGCTGTCAACATGATGTAACTTCTAGGTTTACTTTGTACACCTCTTCCCCTTCCCCTTGTTTCTATCAATATTCATATTTCCAATTTTAGTAACTCTATTATTGGTTATTTACAAGAAAGTGGAGATGTAGCCTACTTGACACAAGGTCAAGAAGAGGAGCGGATGTAGGCTCAGACCACTATCTAGTGCAAGAAACCTTCTAAATCAAGTTAAAAGCCTTCAAGGAAGCTGGTGATAGACCGCAGTTCAAGTACAACACTCAGAAACTGAAGGACGAAACTACAAAGGAAATTTTCACGGCAGCCGTTAAGACAAAATGGGAGATATCGAGGAACATCCCTGAAGAAACCTGAGTGGAAGAACACTGGAAGTCTTTGGAAGAGATGTGGAAAGAAATCTGCACAACTGTATTAGGAAGGAAGAAGAAAGAAAATAAGGAGTGGATCTCGATGGATACATGGAAGCTGATAGAGGAGAGGAGGGAGAGGAGGATGGTGAAGCAGAAGATAAAGCAGTGCAAGGATCCACAACGAGAAGAGGACCTGAGTACAATATATAAAACACCGGACAAAGAAGTGAAGAAGAGTGCACGCAAAGACAAAAGCGAGAAGAGTAGGGTACGCTGGCTGGACCGTGGGAAAGAACCTAGAAGACTTGGATTTCGCCGATGACTTGTGTCTGATGTCGCACAAACTTAAGATCTACAGGCGAAAACTGACAAGTTGACAGAAAAGGTGAGGCGGCGAAGACGGGACTTCCTTCAAGTGAATATCGAGAAGACGGAGGTGATGAAGATATCCAACCAACAACAACAAACTTAAAGGAAGTAGCCTCTGTCACCTATCTAGGCAGCACTGTTTCAACTACAGGCAGCACAGGCACAGACGAGGACGTCAAAGCCGGGATAGGAAACATAGCGAGACAGGCGTTCATTAACCTGGAACCAGTGTGGAGATCTGCACTCAGCGTGTGGAACAAGATCCGGATATTCAAAACCAACGTCAAGTCAGTGCTTCCATGTGATGGTTCAGAGACTTGGCGCATTACAAAAGGGATTTCCAACAAACTACACACATTCATCAACAACTGCTTACGCTGGCTCGTTACTGAAGGTCAGATGGCCAGAATAGTTAGAATAAGCAACAAGGAAGTCACTCTGGCAACGAACCAACCAAGAACCTGTCACCCAACAAATATGCAGGAGGAAATGGAGATGGATTGGGCATACACTGAGAAGGCCGGCTGGGGACATCACGCTTCAGGCCAGGCACTCGAGTGGAACTCAGATGAGAAACAACGAGTTGGGCGTCCGAGGTGAGGGTGACATGGAGGAGGTCGTGCGAGGAGGAAATGAGAGCTTTTGGGCTGTTGTGGAGTCAGGTTCAAAAGATTTCAGAGAACAGAGTGCATTGGAGACGTGCTACTGAAGCCCTATGTTCCATTAGGAACTCAGGGGACAAATAATAATAAATTGATTATTTACATGATTATTTCCGAAACATCACCATGTGATTGGTAATTTGTTTAAATTGTAAACCTATGCATATTAGTATAGAGCCTTAGATGAAGACGGACCTAATTGAAAAGGAATATACATTTCTTCACCCACTGAATCAATATTTTTCTAAAATTACATCAGTTGACTATGTCACTACTGTTAGTAGATTTCCCAGCTGGATTAGTGACTATTTAGGCTCGGTTAATTCACTTCATTCAAACCTACCTACAAAATGCTTTAAGGATATATACTCAAAACCTTAGTCTTTCAGAAGTATAGGTAATCTTAATGAGTTCACGAAAATGCTTAGAAACTGTCATACATATACTAACTTGTTTTGTTTTATTTTGCCTGTCACTTTTTCTACATTAGAAATTGAAGAATTGTTTTTACACTGGTACAGTGAATCAAACAGATGAACGAGTCAATTCAGATATGCCAATTTCTTCATCTTATGTTGCTGTAGATACATGTTTTGGCTTACAGTAAGTTTATCTTATTTTTAAAACCACCTATTGTGTGTAGTTTATTCATACTTGGGAATTTCCTATTGGTATACTATATTGATTATCATTTCGACTATCTAAGATAGTTGTAGTTCAGTAGACTAGTATTTATACTGTGTGATGATTGAAGGTGAAAATGAAAATTTGAATCATGGCTGGATTCTAACTAGCCACCACTGGGTTTCATGCCGATGCTCTACCAACTAACCTACAAGGTCTGACTTCTGATCACAATTTTATTTCATTTCAATCACTAAGGATTTTTACCCGACTACCGTGTGAATTCATGACGCGTTACTACCGTTTGATCGTATTCACATTGGCTGCCTTTTCAGTCAGAACTTCTCATCGCCAACTCATATCTAAGTGAATTAGAATGAGAGGGTGAACATCATAATGACTATCATTCTGATTATTTAGTTCGAATCCCACCCACTGCATTTCGAATTTTCATTTCACTTCCAATCATCATCTAGTATGAATACTAGTCTACCAAATCGCTGCTGCTATCTCAGATAGCCAAAATGATAACCAATATGATGCTCCTCCTCTTTGATTCAGTTAGATTTCGATTGGGATGAGAAGTCCTGACTAAGCAGCCGCCAGTGTGAATATGATCAAGCGGTAGTAATGCGTCATGAATTCACATGGTAGTCGAGCTAAATCCTTGGTGATTGAAGTAGAATAAAATTGTGGTCAGCAGTCAGACCTCGTAGGTCAGTTGGTAGAGCAGCGGGCCTTTAACCCAGTGGTCGGTGGTTCGAATCCGGCCATGGTCCAGATTTTCATTTCACCTTCAATCATCATCCAGTATAAGTATTATGTTGAACTTGAATTGAAGAACAATTGAATAACTCCTTTTGAAATTTCAGGCAACTGTTTCAGATAAGTAAAATTGACATGGGACCTCATACAAAAGTATTTCGGTTCAGGTTGGAATACTTTACAGCAAAATGCAAAGAATAAGTAGATGGAAAATGACTGATATTAAGGTATACAAAAGTGTATGTGAGAGAGAAGAAGGGAATATGTCGGAGAGTTAGTATGTCTGCAGCTAACGTGACCTATTTTCAACCATGTCGCCTGGAAGACACCAGCCAGGCAATCTATATCATTCCTGCACGACTGAGACCAACATTTGGAGACTGGTGCCACTTTTTGGTTCGGTCATTCATAGCCTTCTTCAAACCTAATTCTTTTTGAATTTGAGGGTTTACGGGATCTAGAGATTTTTTTCAAGTTGGTATTCATCATGGACTGACATCAGTTGAACATACGGACTATCGGATTCCGCCGACCTAGTGGCTCAACGGTAACATGCTGGGCACGGGACCTGGAAGTCGCGGGTTTGACTCCTGGTAGGGTCGTGGGTACTCACTGCTGAAGAGTTCAATACCAAGACGAAGCACAGTTGTCCTGTGCTCCAAGGCTTCCAACTGATGTCAGTTCACGATGAATATCTTATTCTTTTTTCTGCTAAAATTGCATGTCGAGATAGTTGATGTAGGCGCAACACATGCTCAAGCCACCTTAATTAGGTAAAGTTAACAACCCATTAACTGACTTGTTTTTGTTTCCTATTACCTTACGCCTAACATTGACATCGGTCATACAGTGATTTCACTACGTATAAGACTCCTACAGTTGAAATCCTATAACCTCTTCACATTTTTCACATTCACTGGCTAAGTCTTACAGCTGTATAGTGAAACAGAGTGGTTTGCTGTAGAGTCTTACTTATCCTTCAATAGGTAGTCGGAAATATTGCAGACCCCAGAGATGATGTAAGCAAGCGAATATCAAAGGAAAACATAACGAAAAGGTCGAACAAATGTCAAATTACCAACTGACATATGAACTCATCATCCGTTCAATTATCTGTTCTTGATAATAAAGAGGCACCCTCCCTCTTCTCTCTTCAGTTAAGTTTTTCTGCCCCTCAAAAACACAAAATCCTGATTTAACGACGGATGCTTAATTCAAGAAACCTATGTGATCAACTAAGTTCACTTATCTCAACCTCTACAGACAGTCAGAACTAGTTAAGAGTTAAATTAGTAGGTATCGTTCATGCGTTTCATAATCTTGGTCCAAGACAGTAAAACATTCAAACTATCACGAAATAACTGTGATATTATTATACTAAAACCCGATAAGGGATCAGGTGTGATCGTTATGAATAAGTCTGATTACAAAAGTAAAATGTTATCGATTCTTAGGGATGAAAGCAAATTTACATCAGATGTCTCTCTTTTGAAGGAATCTCTAAGTTGGAAGGAAGAGTTAACTCCAAACTGATGAATTTAGTTGTCTAAAACTTATGGGATGTGAACATTCACAACTATATACATTATCTAAAACTTATAAACCTGACAATCTGTTATGCCCAATATCGTCTGTCTCGATCATCCACTCATAATCTAGCTAAATGTTTCACAAAACTCTTAAGTCCTGTCAGAAATTATTTATGTAAGTCCTTATTGAAAGATATATTTAACTTGGTTGAGTTGGATTCACATTCAAGGGTGAACACTTTCAATAGATTGATTGCATCGCGATGGGTAGTGTCCATTAGGGCAGCTGTTAGTTAATGTATACATGTCATATATTGACAGCATGATTGACGATCTCATCGGAAGAGTTCTACTTTATAAGAGATAAGTTGATGATATAGTCATTATATGTAGAAAAGCCTGACTATGCGATATGCTTGTTAGAGAAGATGAACACGGCTGAAAATCCATTTAGCTTTACTTGTTAGTAAGAAACGAATAATCAGCTTGATAAGCAAGTTAATCTATAGGAAGCGTACATGCCCAGCCGAATATATACGCGATTTAGTTAGGTGCTTATTCAACAGGCTAAACTGCATCTACACCGATGATATGAAGGAGGAAGAAACCAATCTACTGACAATAATAGTAATACAAAATGGCTACCCGTTGAAATTTATCAACATGTGCTAAAGTAAAGTTTCCATTGAAAAGTATACAGTGTTCTGTTACTAAGACGAATGTCTATATCTCATTATCATTTAGAGGTGATTCACATAGCTTTATGGTGAGGAAAAAACTTAGATCAGCCACCTGTAAAATATACCATACAGCCAAAGTCATCATTATAGAGAAGACATAAACGATTGAATTATATCCCACAGTGTTTATCAATTTACATGTATATGCGAACACACATACATCGGTAGGAATAATCCTGCTATGTAATTGATACAGTTTAGAAATCCCCAGTCATAAAGCAAAAGACGTATAGCGAAGTATCACTTCTACGACCGAGTGAAACAACCGATGTACTTTGCTTCACAGAAATAGGTGGACTGATAGATATACATAGAGATGGCCTGTCGAGGGATATTATCTTTTATACGAAGGGAGAAGAATTTACTACCGGTAAAGGTAATATGAAGTTTGGCTGGGAGAAAAGTTCTACTAACTCATATTCGAAGATGATAATACTACTACATCACCTTTAAATTACAGATGCATGTAGAAAGTCTTTTTAGAAACTGAAATGATGTCTTTCTCGCATATTCTTATCAACAAATTGGCTAGTATAGCCATTTCTTTTAAGTATCCATCTTAGAAAGTAAATTTTAACCTGCCTCTGTTGAGCAAGGTACGAAGGCCGTAGTCTCAGACTGCCGTATATGAGAACATATTCCAGCATGGATTTATAAGGGTAAAAGGAAACGAACTAGAAGTTCTATCCTTGATTATCTAATTGATTTTAACCATTCAACCGACAATGATTTTAAGGTTAACCATCGAAGTGACAACGGAAACCTTTGAAGTCAAGACAGGAGTAAGACAAGGTTGCCTACTATCATCAGTGATCTTTTTAATTGTGATCAACTCATCTGGATCATGCAGCAAACCATAAGGAAGGAGAAGATGCGAATACACTGGCTGTTTGACCGATGAAAAGAGTCTAGAAGAAGATTTGGATTTCGCCGACGATGATGATTCATGTGTAATGTCTTATGTGGCACAAACTCGAAGATGTACAGGCGAAAAGTAACAAGTTGATAGAAGAGGTAGGTGAGGGAAGACGGGACTTCAAGTGAATGTAGTGTAGATAAGATGGAGGTGATGAAGATATCCAACCAACCAACCAACAACAACAACATCATCATCAAAGAGAAGAGGCACCAATCAGCATTAACGGGAGAAACGTAAAGGAAGTAATCTCTTTCATCTACCCACCTTGTTAGGCAGTATCGTTTCGAGTACAGGTGTCCGAGGCATATATGTGGATGGGATGTGAAAGCCAGTGAGGATTGTAAAGACAGCAGGACAGGCCTTCTACATTAATGTGAAATCAGTGTGGATATCTACTACACTGCACTCAGTGTGAAGCGTGAACAACATCTGGATTTGTAACAGTACTAATTTCAGTGAAGTCAGTGCTTTTATGTGATGGTTGAGAGACTTGGTGTGTTACGAAAAGCATTTGTGACAAACTACAGACATACATGTTCAACAGCTGCCGCCTACACTGACTCGATACTGAAGTTGAGATGAGAAGGTGAGAAAGAATAAACGAGGAGGAACTTCTGCCTGTCAATGAAGCAACTTGAGGAAGCACCCGTTGACCAGGGTGTATGCAGAAGAAGGGAGTGTAGATGGATTGGATTGTACATAGACTGAGAAAGTCGTTTGAAGACATTATGTGCCAGGTCGTGGAGTTGAATGGAAGGGGAACGACGAGTTGTTTGTTGTAGGGTAGGGTGATATGGAGGAGATGGTGTGTGAGGAATAAATGAAAGCTTGTGGGAAGCCGTGGTGCCAGGTTCAAAAGGCTGTATAGAAAAGTGTGCAAAAGAGGCGTGCTATTGAAGCTCTATGTTCCACTGGGAACCCAAGGGAAAAATAATCATCATACGATAAGCAACAACAAAAAAGATGCATAGTAGAGTGAATCAAATCCAAGTAATATCAATAGGTAAACTTACTAAATGATGGTCAAGAGTCAAGGCGAGATTTATGATAAAGATTTTAGGAGTATCGCTTTTCAATAAAGGTCTTCGATTCATCATACTAAAGATATCAGTAGGTCGCCAGAAAACTGGTAATTCAACGTCTACAAACAACACAACAAAAAGAAATTATAAACACTCCTACATAAGAATCTAAATGGAACAACTAGAAGAAAATGATTAATTACCACAATAATAGACCTAGTAACAACCATAATATATAACAATCAATGAATCATGTCCACTTTATTTCATAGATCTTCATCAGCTGCATACAACCTAAAAGGTTATGACAAAATTATTGGAATTTTCAAGGACATAAAAGTTAAGTTACACTGATGATGGATAGTAGTTAGCAGTCGACTTCAGGGAGTGGATTTCGTCCTATTTTGAATTTATCAGCTGGATGTACTGTACCTGCACCTCTCAGTGAGTCGTAGTGTTGGTTAGATGGGGGATGTAACATCCGTTAGGTATTAATCACCCATGGATCAGCAGTACTATCCTGATGCTACCTTCCTCATGGGAGAGAAGAAGAAGGGGTTAGAAAGGGTATGGTTCGAAAGCAACACAACCCTTCTCACCCTTCAGCTTACAGATATCGGGTTTGTAGATAGATTAAAAAGAGACACAGATGAACTTCAAACTCACGAGAAGGTTGAATACGATAGATCTTAAAGTGTACCCCGTGAACTATGCGGTTATGCACAAATATTGGGAAGTCAACTTCTTTCGTCAATCACCATCGACACTTTGTCAGCACTCAAGTTCTCTGTTTCACCAATATAATTCTTCAGTTGTCTAACAACATAAATTTTGTTTTTGTTTTTCCTTAGAAGCATAGAATTATCAACTTTATCACATCTAAACTATCTGAATAATGTTGACTAAGATATATAATCTGTGTTTCTGTATATCTCCTAGAGCCAGTCTCTTACTGTTATCACCGAATTTCAGAACATCTCCTTCAAAGTATGATATGTATATCCCGATGTCTGATTGTGAAGAAAGTTCTGAGCATGTGAATAGGGTTATTTAAACTTGTATAGCTCCTTCAAGGAGTATGCAAAGTTGTCACATAAAGTGATGACAACTAGTAGTATCAGCGTGAGATGGCCTCTACCACCATTCCTATTTACCTTCCTTATAGAAGTTCTGACAGACATAAGCTTAGTTACCGAGGACTTCTAATAGGTTGATTTACCCGCTGGAGGTTATCGAGATGATATGGAGTATGCAGACGATAGTGTCCAGTTAGATAAAGACGCTGAAGCATTGTAACGTCTTCTGAACACGTTGAGGAGAAATCAAAGTACGTCTAGTCAAATGTAATATGACGCTCCATGTCTGACCGCTTTGCAACTGCTCAAAGTTAAGTGATAGGTAGTGAAAAGATGGGACGTGTCGACCACTTCATTTCACCAGTCGCATCAGCCCAAACAAGCTTGAAAATCTACAGGCAAAACATAACAACTTGGAAGAAGAGGCAGAGCAGCGAAAACGGGGCCTACCCAAGGTGAACGTAGAGAAGACAAAGGTGATGATCATACCAAACCGATAACAACAAGCATCAATCACTGCAATGCACATCACAACACAACACAGCACTCGGCATAAGGCATGCAAAACATCCTCATTTTAAACACTAATTCAGTCATGTCAGTCAATGCTTCCATGTAATAGTTGACAGACTTCACGCATCACAAAAACCATTTACAACAAACTGCACACATACATCAACAACTGCCGTCTACACCCCCATACTACACATGAACATCACATGGTCAGAATAATAAGAACATACAAGGAGGAACACTCGTCTGGTAACCAACCAACCAACCAACCAACCAAGCAAGAACCTATCGCCCTACAAATATACAGAAGGAGAGAGTGGAATAGAGATGGATTCGATTTGAGGTAGACTGAGAAGACGATTTGGAGACATCACTCGTCAGACCATGATAGGCCAGTTGCTCGAGTGGCACCCAAACGGGAAACGACGAGTTGGGCATCCCAACTGAGGGTGACATAGAGAAGATGGTATGAGGAACAAATAGAAGCTTGTGAGAAGTCGTGGAGCCAGGTGGAGACAGACTGTAGAGAAGAGAGTGAAATGACGAGGTATTACTACTGAAAAACTATTCTCCACTAGGAACCCAAAGGATAAAGAATAATAATAATAATGATCATAATAATAAATCGAATTCGCTCAAGCATCTCACATTTTCTCCGTGTCTTCAACATCTAAGAACAGCAGAAGCCTTGGCTATCCGTGAACTGAAGCTTATCTAACCTTTGTGTGCAAAAGAAGTGGGTACAGTCTTTGTCTCTACCGTGGTGTTAATTTATTACCTTCCTTTTTATTTTTCCAGTTTATGAATTTTTGAATAGTAATCAAGTGTTAACTGGCACACCCTGTTGTCGTCAACAAATACAGTAATGTATAAGAAGTCGTATTCACCTTTTTAGTTCAATTCATCTCCATATTTATACTGCGCTCGAACAAGTCGATGACAATCTCATTAGCTTTCATACAATGGATATATACTACTTACATCTTAGATACCATTAGTGGGTGTTATTAATACCACTATTGTACATGTTTTTAGTGCAAAAATTATTTATTTATTTATAGATACGAGAACTGTGTCAAAGTGATTGAATGAAGTGAATAGTTTACATTATTAGACAGTTATTCCTTAAAGATTTGAAATATCTTCCTTCTGAACTGTCAAGAAAACATATCAACTGTTTATTTACACTTTTCTTACCTTCACTGTCAAGATAATCGTTTATACTATTCGAATTTTATAGTTGAATTGAAATCCACTTAGCAATCTTGTGACTGGTCAAACCTCAGTAGGTGGATCTGGGTTCGAACCCGTGACCCATTAGTTGTAGTGCCTAGTATTGTACGACTAATGTTTGTCTGTAAGTAGTGTTAGTCAAACTGAAGGCACCCGCATTTCTCTTCTCCCTTTTTTTATCGTTTTAATAAAGTTAGTTACTGCAACCGCTTAATTGGTTGATTGTTCGAATCTCACCGCCGTCCAAATTTTCATTTTATCTTCAATCATTACCCAATATTAATTACTAAATCGCTATCCTCCATTTTTTTCTTTTTTTGTTAAATATAGTGGTATTATTCATTATGCGAATCAAACATATGGTATACGACCGTTGCATTGTTCACAGTGTGATTCTACTGCAGTCCCACACGTGCTTTATCCACATCGACCAACCTCAATAAGTAGAGGTTAGTTTGTATTTTACTTCTTATTCATTCCCCTAATATGTTTGTTTGCAGATATCAATAAACTTGTCATTTAATCACTGGTGGTTCATCAGTTCGTTGTGTACATACAAATGAGACTATCATGTTGGTATTACTCCGTAGTTACAGACTTTTCCCGATCGACTAGTCACACCTATTAGTACACTAATTTGCGATCAAACGGCAGTATCACGTCACAAATTCACATGGTAGTCGGATAAAACCTTTTGGTGGTTGATGTGAAATAAAAATCTTGTCGGAGCTCAGTTGGTAGACTACCAGGCCGGAAACCCAGTGGTTACTGGTTCGAATCCTACCGCGGCCCAATAAACTTTGATTGAAACCTATTCTACATGCATGACTTGAACGAAAAAACGGCAAATGATGACAATATGAAGAAAAATAGATTAAATTCTTATCCACTAGGGTGTTATTCAATCTAGAGGTTAATGGTGAGTTTGATCGATTGAATATGAACTGGTGAGAAGTCGCCGACTAGGACGAAAACAGCCATTCAGTCCTCTTAGTTTCTCTATGGTTTCCTGCTTGATATCCATGATACAGGCCACCTTTAGAATCGAGTAAATGTTTGTGTTAATTCTCTGTAGCTACTAACAAGAGTGTATATTTTGATGATCTAACTACTGCAGCATATGCCTGTGATGACTTATCATAGTAGAGAGGGACTTCGACGTTTTGCCTAGAAATTTTCGTTTTTCTTTCGTTCTACTATCAGCAAATAGGTTCTTTGGTTGACCTTGTTAAAATATATTACTTTTAAAGTTGACGCATCATAATTACGGATTGTTTTCTTTGGGATTCGAGTTAAGGTTTTGAAACTACAATAGTAGAACGCTATTATTCCTAATGTAATCTCACCTAACGAATATTATATTTTGTTGTGAAACCTAATACCCTTCACCTGACTTCCACATTACTCACATGGTGATTACACCATACACAAGCATATCTATGAATACACTTATGGTAAAGGACATATAACCGCTTAATATCTAATTTGAATGGCCCTATCTCACAGCCATATATTAGGGTAGAATGAACTGGAGTGCAATGTATTCATCCTCTGATAGATAGTCCGATACTTTGCCCTCCAACGCCACAGGTAGTGTAATTTAACAAATGCCGAAGTGGCTTTTTATATGTCAGAGGTGAGATTTGATCAGCAACCAACCGGTTTGGTTGATTATTATTATTATTATTGTTTATCCTTTGGGTTCCTAGTGGAGAATAGTTTTTCAGTAGTAATACCTCGTCATTTCACTCTCTTCTCTACAGTCTGTCTCCACCTGGCTCCACGACTTCTCACAAGCTTCTATTTGTTCCTCATACCATCTTCTCTATGTCACCCTCAGTTGGGATGCCCAACTCGTCGTTTCCCGTTTGGGTGCCACTCGAGCAACTGGCCTATCATGGTCTGACGAGTGATGTCCCCAAATCGTCTTCTCAGTCCACCTCGAATCGAATCCATCTCTATTCCACTCTCTCCTTCTGTATATTTGTAGGGCGATAGGTTCTTGCTTGGTTGGTTGGTTGGTTGGTTGGTTACCAGACGAGTGTTCCTCCTTGTATGTTCTTATTATTCTGACCATGTGATGTTCATGTGTAGTATGGGGGTGTAGACGGCAGTTGTTGATGTATGTGTGCAGTTTGTTGTAAATGGTTTTTGTGATGCGTGAAGTCTGTCAACTATTACATGGAAGCATTGACTGACATGACTGAATTAGTGTTTAAAATGAGGATGTTTTTCATGCTTTATGCTGAGTGTAGTGCGGTGGATCTCCATACTGATTTCAGATTAATGCAGAAGGTCTGTCTTGTTGTCTTACCAATCCTGACTGTCTTTGACATTCCATCCTCATCTGTTCTGCCTATGGTTGAAACCTAGATTTGATAACAAGCAGATTTAAATAGAATTTAGTTTGGGGTTTGTTGGGATTTAGTGATTTTTCTAGTTAGTAATCATCATGAACTGATATCATTTGGAGGAACATTGGAAACGTTGGAGCACTGTACAGTTATTTCGTCTAACTAATTTGGGACTCCTCAGGAGTCCCAACTCATGACCCTATGCCTCTGCTCTAGGGGTCGAACCCAGGACTGTCAGGTTTCGCGGCCAGCATGTTACCATTAAGCTAACCACTGGGCTGAACTCCAGTGGTCCATATTTCTAACTTCTGTCGGTTTACGTAATAGTTCAACCATCACCAAGTGTCATCGTTGAGTATTTGTCCTCACGTCCACCATGTTTATCTCACTGGTTTACGAGTTCTCATTGGAACTTCAGGAAAAATCACTTAATCCGTACAAACCTCTAAATTCAATTGATCTAATGCTCATTGGTAAATAGCTCCAGGATATGACTCATTAAGTTCCAATTAGAGGTCATGAACTAATGGGGCAAACCTGGTGGACGTGAGGACAAATACTCAACGATGATATTAGGCTATATTGTGAACTGACAGAAGTAGGAAATGTCTAGTATTAGATCCCTACGCAGCAGGTCAATGGTAACTTGATGGCCGTGGAACCTGGTGTGCGGTAGGGTCACGGGTGCACACTGCTGAGGTAACCCATATTAGTTGAATGAAACAGCTGTCCAATGCTCCTAGATTTCTAATTTTCACCTAATTGATGTCAGTCTATAATGAATACCAACTTATAAAGTCGAATTACAATCTACCATATTAATCAGTAGCTTGTCTGTTGTATAGTAAAATATTTTCGCTGAAAATAGACTCATCCATCTAAATTGACTGTCATCAGCTTTTCTATAAAGCAATAAAAGTATATTATATATATCGAGATAGTAATAATAATGATTTATAGAGTAAATTACTTGTTAAATTTCATTTTATTTAATGCAATAGAATTGTTTTAAAAGGCTAGTGAGTATATAGGAAAGGTAACATTAATCATCAGTCTAGTATATTGTTCCCCCGTTTCCCTCTGTCAAATCAATTAATCAAATAACTAAACTATTTGAGAACACTCAGTAAAACTTTAAATTGGTATATTAATATTAGGGAATACAATGAAATGGATCAGATTATTATTAAATTGTCTATCAAGTTGGTTATCAATTCATATGGCTAACTGATTGTAAGATGATCAATTTGAAAATGATTCACAAGTTGTACGATCCATATTGATGTCTTTTACATTCAGCTGACTAGATTTTCAACTATCTAATTGTATTGTCAATATTTGATCTCTAATAAAGTAATGTTATGAATTAGAGAGATAGACTATAAGTGAAAGTAATTAAATAGTTAGAAAGCGCGCTCAATTTGCTCTTTAAGTTCCACCAATCACGTGTATCGGTACCGATCCATTGAAGTTAACTAGTTAGGTTCATATGATCTGAACAATTCTGTTTTGTTAACAAGGAACTCTTGTAACGAACCAACCAAGAACCCATCGCCCAACAAATATGCAGAAGAAAATGAAGATGGACTGGGCATACACTGAGAAGATCATTCGAGAACATCACGCGTCAGGCCGTCGAGTGGAACTCACATGGGAAACGAAGAGTTGGGCGTCCGAGGCGAGGGTGACATGGAGGAGATCGTGCGAGGAAGAAATGAGAGCTTGTGGGCTGTCGTGGAGCCAGGTTGAAAAGTTTTCAGGGAAGAGAGTGGAATGGAGACGTGCTATTGAAGCCGTATGTTCCACTAGGAACCCAAGCGGACAAGTCATAATGATAATAATTCATCTGGGTACACCGGTGATGAGCTGACTTGACCCGAAACGACCTATGACTAATTATATTTCCACTTGTCGTGTTAACAAGAGTTGCGTAACCACTTGCATCTCTTACCAATACTATCCTAATAAATTTCTTTCGTTCCAGTGTGAAGTGAACTAGGATTAAGTAGCAGAAGAGATTGGCTCCTGTCATGAATATTGCATTTCATTTGTGCTTTGAAGTTTCTTTAGCGGTTAGATTTGTTTTATGTTGTAGGGTTGCTAGCCCTATGCCCAACCTTCCCTCTTTATCCGGGCTTAGGACGGGCTAGTAACTAGTGAACTAGTTAACCAGAAGGAAGTGGAGATGGATTGGGCATACACTGAGAAGGCCGGCTGGGGACATCACGCATCAGGGCAGGCCCTCGAGTGGAACCCCCATGGGAAGCGACGAGTTGGACATCCGAGGTCGACATGGACGAGATCGTGCGAGGAGGAAATGAGAGCTTGTGGGCTGTCTTGGAGCCAGGTTCAAAAGATTTCAGAGAACAGAGTTCACTGGAGATTTACTACTGAATCCCTATGTTCCATTAGGAACCCAAGGGACTAATAATAATAATAAATGAAAATTGTATAATTGAGTCTATTTAACTAAATGGATAGACACTACTCAATAACACCAAGGGTTTCTAAATACTTTTATATCAGAGATCTCACTTTACGATATTGCATGAAGAGATTCCACCGAAAACCCTGCTGATAATACAGTTGAGAAGTAGAAAAGTTACTCAGTTGTGAGTAATGTCAAGATGGAGCGTGACTGGACAGGCGAATAGTCGTTTCGTATATAGCTAGACAGAGTATTTATATGTAAATTTAAGTATTTCTTTCCTCGGACACGTGAGCAGAAAAAGACTGATATCAAAGTAAACAAAGTTTTGTAAGATAAGGTACATATCCAAGCCACCTCAATCAAGGAGGTTGTGAAACCTAATACCCTTCACCTGACTTCCACATTACTCACATGGTGATTACACCATACACAAGCATATCTATGAATACACTTATGGTAAAGGACATATAACCGCTTAATATCTAATTTGAATGGCCCTATCTCACAGCCATATATTAGGGTAGAATGAACTGGAGTGCAATGTATTCATCCTCTGATAGATAGTCCGATATTTTGCCCTCCAACGCCACAGGTAGTGTAATTTAACAAATGCCGAAGTGGCTTTTTATATGTCAGAGGTGAGATTTGATCAGCAACCAACCGGTTTGGTTGATTATTATTATTATTATTGTTTATCCTTTGGGTTCCTAGTGGAGAATAGTTTTTCAGTAGTAATACCTCGTCATTTCACTCTCTTCTCTACAGTCTGTCTCCACCTGGCTCCACGACTTCTCACAAGCTTCTATTTGTTCCTCATACCATCTTCTCTATGTCACCCTCAGTTGGGATGCCCAACTCGTCGTTTCCCGTTTGGGTGCCACTCGAGCAACTGGCCTATCATGGTCTGACGAGTGATGTCCCCAAATCGTCTTCTCAGTCCACCTCGAATCGAATCCATCTCTATTCCACTCTCTCCTTCTGTATATTTGTAGGGCGATAGGTTCTTGCTTGGTTGGTTGGTTGGTTGGTTGGTTACCAGACGAGTGTTCCTCCTTGTATGTTCTTATTATTCTGACCATGTGATGTTCATGTGTAGTATGGGGGTGTAGACGGCAGTTGTTGATGTATGTGTGCAGTTTGTTGTAAATGGTTTTTGTGATGCGTGAAGTCTGTCAACTATTACATGGAAGCATTGACTGACATGACTGAATTAGTGTTTAAAATGAGGATGTTTTGCATGCCTTATGCCGAGTGCTGTGTTGTGTTGTGATGTGCATTGCAGTGATTGATGCTTGTTGTTATCGGTTTGGTATGATCATCACCTTTGTCTTCTCTACGTTCACCTTGGGTAGGCCCCGTTTTCGCTGCTCTGCCTCTTCTTCCAAGTTGTTATGTTTTGCCTGTAGATTTTCAAGCTTGTTTGGGCTGATGCGACTGGTGAAATGAAGTGGTCGACACGTCCCATCTTTTCACTACCTATCACTTAACTTTGAGCAGTTGCAAAGCGGTCAGATATGGAACATCATATTACATTTGACTAGTGCCAGTGAAACGTGTGCCAAATGTACTCTGATTTCTACTCAACGCGTTCAGAAGACGTTTCGATGCTTCAGCGTCTTTATCTAACTGGACACTATCGTCTGCATACTCCATATCATCTCGATAACCTCCAGCGGGTAAATCAACCTATTAGAAGTCCTCGGTAACTAAGCTTATGTCTGTCAGAACTTCTATAAGGAAGGTAAATAGGAATGGTGGTAGAGGCCATCTCACGCTGATACTACTAGTTGTCATCACTTTATGTGACAACTTTGCATACTCCTTGAAGGAGCTATACAAGTTTAAATAACCCTATTCACATGCTCAGAACTTTCTTCACAATCAGACATCGGGATATAAATAACACATACATAACAGACTGGCTCTAGGAGATATACAGAAACACAGATTATATATCTTAGTCAACATTATTCAGATAGTTTAGATGTGATAAAGTTGATAATTCTATGCTTCTAAGGAAAAACAAAAACAAAATTTATGTTGTTAGACAACTGAAGAATTATATTGGTGAAACAGAGAACTTGAGTGCTGACAAAGTGTCGATGGTGATTGACGAAAGAAGTTGACTTCCCAATATTTGTGCATAACCGCATAGTTCACGGGGTACACTTTAAGATCTATCGTATTCAACCTTCTCGTGAGTTTGAAGTTCATCTGTGTCTCTTTTTAATCTATCTACAAACCCCAATATCAGTAAGCTGAAGGGTGAGAAGGGTTGTGTTGCTTTCGAACCATACCCTTTCTAACCCCTTCTTCTTCTCTCCCATGAGGAAGGTAGCATCAGGATAGTACAGCTGATCCATGGGTGATAACTACCTAACTGATGTTACATCCCCCATCTTACCAACACTACGACTCACTGAGAGGTGCAGGTACAGTACATCCAGCTGATAAATTCAAAATAGGACGAAATCCACTCCCTGAAGTCGACTGCTAACTACTATCCATCATCAGTGTAACTTAACTTTTATGTCCTTGAAAATTCCAATAATTTTGTCATAACCTTTTAGGTTGTATGCAGCTGATGAAGATCTATGAAATAAAGTGGACATGATTCATTGATTGTTATATATTATGGTTGTTACTAGGTCTATTATTGTGGTAATTAATCATTTTCTTCTAGTTGTTCCATTTAGATTCTTATGTAGGAGTGTTTATAATTTCTTTTTGTTGTGTTGTTTGTAGACGTTGAATTACCAGTTTTCTGGCGACCTACTGATATCTTTAGTATGATGAATCGAAGACCTTTATTGAAAAGCGATACTCCTAAAATCTTTATCATAAATCTCGCCTTGACTCTTGACCATCATTTAGTAAGTTTACCTATTGATATTACTTGGATTTGATTCACTCTACTATGCATCTTTTTTGTTGTTGCTTATCGTATGATGATTATTTTTCCCTTGGGTTCCCAGTGGAACATAGAGCTTCAATAGCACGCCTCTTTTGCACACTTTTCTATACAGCCTTTTGAACCTGGCACCACGGCTTCCCACAAGCTATCATTTCTTTCTTACACACCATCTCCTCCATATCACCCTACCCTACAACAAACAACTCGTCGTTTCCCCTTCTCATTCAACTCCACGACCTGACACGTGATGTCTTCAAACGACTTTCTCAGTCTATGTACAATCCAATCCATCTACACTCCCTTCTTCTGCATACACCCTGGTCAACGGGTGCTTCCTCAAGTTGCTTCATTGACAGGCAGAAGTTCCTCCTCGTTTATTCTTTCTCACCTTCTCATCTCAACTTCAGTATCGAGTCAGTGTAGGCGGCAGCTGTTGAACATGTATGTCTGTAGTTTGTCACAAATGCTTTTCGTAACACACCAAGTCTCTCAACCATCACATAAAAGCACTGACTTCACTGAAATTAGTACTGTTACAAATCCAGATGTTGTTCACGCTTTACACTGAGTGCAGTGTAGTAGATATCCACACTGATTTCACATTAATGTAGAAGGCCTGTCCTGCTGTCTTTACAATCCTAACTGGCTTTCACATCCCATCCTCATATATGCCTCGGACACCTGTACTCGAAACGATACTGCCTAACAAGGTGGGTAGATGAAAGAGATTACTTCCTTTACGTTTCTCCCGTTAATGCTGATTGGTGCCTCTTCTCTTTGATGATGATGTTGTTGTTGTTGGTTGGTTGGTTGGATATCTTCATCACCTCCATCTTATCTACACTACATTCACTTGAAGTCCCGTCTTCCCTCACCTACCTCTTCTATCAACTTGTTACTTTTCGCCTGTACATCTTCGAGTTTGTGCCACATAAGACATTACACATGAATCATCATCGTCGGCGAAATCCAAATCTTCTTCTAGACTATTTTCATCGGTGAAACAGCCAGTGTATTCCCATCTTCTCGTTTCTCACGGTTTGCTGCATGATCCAGTACAGTACAGAACAGTCTAGTGCAGTTCAGTCCAGTACAATCGACCAGAATCAGGAAGATGATCGGTGATAGTAGACAGCCTTGTCTCACCTGTCAACCTGTCTTCACTTCATTTCACTTCACTTCACTTCAAATGTGTCACCGAGCTTTTCATTGTTGATCATTTGGCATGTAACCTGATCATATCATCAGCATATAGCTGCTGTTGAATGAGGCTGATACAGGTTTGTGGCACTCAGTGTGTAGTGTTGAAGTAGCTGCTGGCCAAATTACTTTTCGTTCGATGTTGTCGAAGGCCTTTTCAAAATCGATGAAGTTGAGGTGGAGAGGTAGAGAGTTCAGTTGACTGCCATTCTCTACGTTGCTTATCTTAGTTTGAGTTATTTAACGTGCCCCATCAGTGATCGACGAAGTATCTGCATGTACCCGAAAGGTTTGATTAACTTTTGGTTACTTCGTCTATTTGTAGCGCCTTGTTCATATCCGATATCCTGTGAAGTGGATGTGTGTACATGCAGCTTTTCTTGCTATCACCTCCATGTGGAATGCTAGGGCATATAGGACTAGGTTGAGGTGGCCAGACCAAACATGATATCAGTTTATGAAGTCTCTAACTGTTGGTTTGAACAGTGTCGAGAAATGTAGGCCACCTGGTCGGGTTCGTCGAGATCACAAGAATCGGTTATTGAAGACGTTTGGTGACATATGTGAAGATAGGTCATAATAGATGGCACAGATGTATTCATTCCTTAATTATGCACACTAACCGTTATCTTCAGACTTTTTATTATCTCACACTATTGTGAAGTGTGACAACTTGAGGTGCTACACGTGTACGCGATGTTCTACGCTGATTTTGTCTGTTTATCTATCTGTCCGTCTGTCTATATCCGTTGGTTAGCTTTTCAATAGCTATAGGATATAGGATTCAACTTCGTGAATCTTGAATCAAGTCAGAGCCCACTCAACAACCTCGTCCATGTCCGTGAAGTGGGTAATAACACAGCTATGCTTGACAACAATGTCTCGCAGTTATACAACAGGATAGAACGAACTGCAGCACAGTGTACTCGTCCTCTGATAGGTAGTCAGGTAATTTGCCGGCGCCAAGTTGGCAAATGTTGAACGAGCCTTCCGTATCTGAGCTGAGGTCTCATCAGAAAGTATCCTGTTTGGATTGATACTTCGCGTTCCCAACCGTCTCTCTTCTTTACTGACTGGAATTCATACTACACACTCAATCATCAGTTGAAGTAGTATAGGACAGTAGGAAGAGTAATGGCTCATTGGTTCAGCGAAATGGCTATCAACCACTGGGTGGTTAGGGATTCGAGTCGTGCTCCATGTATCAAAGTTTGAACAGCCAGGTAGGCCTCATATAATGAGGAGGGGTTATATATTGTCTACCTTATGAATATGCTTAAGGCTGTTGAGTACACTTTATTCATTCATTTTTACTCCATTATACATCTAAGGATGATAATTGTGAATGTTGTATAGACACTGGTCACCTACTTCAACTTCCGACTAGTTGCATCCCCCTCCTCCTCCACACAGATTATGACTTTTCATCAAAACTTCGAGATATCCATTTCGAAGCGTGTCACCAATGAATACTATATAATTAATTAATTTTTTAAGTAATATTTCTGTTTGCTTATTATTTCACCTTTCTCTTCCCTTACTTCAGTTTACAAATTTAGGTCATAACCTTGAACGTGGCATTCACTATTTGAGCAGTGTGCTAAATCAAGTCACCAAGGTAAGTGTGTGTGTGTGTGTGTTATTACTGAAGTTTTCTTTTCCTAAGCCTTCTTCTGTTTCCATACTGAATGATGGTTGAAGGTGAGATAGAAATTTTGGCTGTGGCTGGATTCGAACAAGCGACACATGGGGTTTCCAGCTCTGTGCTCTACCAACTGACCTACGAGGTCCGTTTGCTGAACAGACTTTTATTTCACCTTCAATCACCAAGGATTTTGCTCGACTACCAGGTCAATTCTTGATGCGTTACTACCGCTGGATTGTATTCACACTGGCGGCTGCTTAGTCAGGACTTCCCATCCCAATTCAAAATGAGAGAGGGTACATCACATTGATTGTGATTTTGACTATCGGAGTGAGATAGCTGTGGTTTACCAAACTACTATTCATGCTGATAATTGATGATTGATGATGAAGTTGTACTTTAAAGTTTGTTTGTTTGTGTAATTTAATAGGTTGTATTGAACAGACGTTTTGTGTATTTTATGATCGGTCTATATGTTTCTCAAGTTAAGCCATATTTCTTCTACTTTTCAATGATTCATTTGTTTCCATGAGATAGCAGTTGGTTCACATAGAGTCCTGTTAGAAAAAGATATTGAATCTTCTAACCCCCTTGAATGGAAATCTGAGTGTGTTTGGTGCGTATTTTACACCACTTAGATGTATGGTGATACTTTGAAATTGGTCTGTATCGATTGATAGTTTAGTGATATGAAGCGAAGCGGTTGAGTGGTTACCGACCAAGTCTCAGTTCAAATACCAAAGACTCATTCAGTATTTATCAATTTTCTTCATGTCTTGCAGCTTTGAATTATCCCAACCATCTAGGAAGGAAGATAAGCATATTGCATAGGAGTTCATTCGGTCTTGTTATCGAACTGTAACACATGGTCATTGAGAATATATGATCGGAAGAAGCCACGGGTCTTCATAACACTGCTAGTTTGTAGTGGAATCATGCTGTGAGTAATGTGTAGAGTACTAGACGAGGGAAGCAAGTCGGTGGATAAATTTGTGAACGTTTCGCGAATGAGATATCTTGTGTGCATGCCAACACATCACTTACACGAACCGATGAATTTCTGTGCCAATTTCTACATTGATTTGTTTACCTGTCAGTCTAGGGGCTTTCCACTGGTTTCATTTCGGTTTTATTACATTGAGTTGTTTTCCAAAGACAACCAGCCTTCTAAGTGTTTATACTGCCTTCTTTATCAGAAGGTAGGCGTAAAAACGGATTAACTATGAGAAATAACACACCTTACTCTTTGTGTATTGATTTTCAGCTCTGCTGGTAAAGGTTTCTGTAAGGTCGGACTTAGCGAGGCCGGGTTACCGGTCTCAAGCAGCTGTCTACCAAGCTATGCTGTCAGCTCGCAATGTTGATGAGAATATCCATTTTTATCTACTTTGTTTTTCCTCCATGTCAAAATAAAGTGAGGGTCCTCCATTTTGGGGTTACCCAACTCTCTTTATCTCTGTCAGCACTGAAGTCCATCTTCTGTTTTTGACATACACTGAGTAGTAATACGATATACCCTGTATTATTTGTCAGGTTATTAGTGAACAGGAAACTGTTTTCGTTTACGCTTTTGCGCTTATTTTTACTCATGAAAATTGTATTCCATAACCGGCACGTTACCATTAAGCCACTGGGTCGGAAGCCGGTAGTCCGATTTCTTACTTCTGTCAGTTCATCATATAGTCCGGCCTCCATCTAGTGCTGTCGTTGACTAACTGTTCTCATATTCGACTTCGTTGGCCCCACTGATCACGATTTCTCATTAAAACTTCGAGAAAAACCTCTCGAAGCTAGTCACCAGTGAGTACCAGACTAATTCACTTATGAGGGTTATGGGGATTTATTAATTTCAGGTTTTTGATAACCTTGGACTGACATCTGTTGGAGAACCACTGGGAGTCTGGGAACACCGAACAGCTATTTCATCTCAGTATGGGACCCCTCAGCAGCGCTCACCCATGACTTTACTACGCCAAGGATCGAACCCAGTACTTTACTAGATGATCTCAGTCCATGATGAATATCGATCTGAAATCAGTGAATAAATTCCCACAAGCCTCCAAATTGAACCAATCGAATCGCCATTTTCGACTAGCTTTGAGAGATGAAGTCGTGACCGGTAAGGCCAACCAAGTCGAACATGACGACGGTTATTCGATCCCAGCATTAGGTGGAGGTCACCCTATATCTCGAACTGACAGATTTAGGAAATATGAATCATTGGATTTCGACTCAGAGGCTCAATGCCAGTGGGCTAGCCACGGAACCTGAAGGTCCTGCGTTCGAGCTCTGGAGCAGCTGGGTCATGCATATACATTGCTGAGGAATCCCATACTAGTCGAACAAAGTACAGCTATCCACTGCTCCAAGGATTCAAATATTTCTCCAACTGATGTCACTCCATCATCCATAATAACTTGGATTGACAAATCCCCACAACCGTCAAAAGACATTTCAGCGAAGAAAACCTTTCGATGAATCATTTACAAAAGCTGTACAATTATCATTACATTCACAACAAGGATATGCTTCCACCAGTAGTAAATCAGTCAAAACAAGGTCATCAGAAATCCTTCATAAGAGTACAATAAATAAAAAAAACATGCCAAGTGATTAATAAGAGGCAATCCAGTGATGCATTTGAAGTGAAGTGAAGACAGGTTGACAGGTAAGACAAGGCTGTCTACTATCACCGATCATCCTCCTGATTGTGGTCGATTGTACTGGACTGTACTGGAGTGCACTGGACTCGACTCGACTGGATCATGCAGCAAACCGTGAGGAAAGAGAAGATGCGAATACACTGGCTGTTTCACCGATGAAAAGAGTCTAGTAGAAGATTTGGATTTCGCCGACGATGATGATTCATGTGTAATGTCTTATGTGGCACAAACTCGAAGATGTACAGGCGAAAAGTAACAAGTTGATAGAAGAGGTAGGTGAGGGTTGACGGGACTTCAAGTGAATGTAGTGTAGATAAGATGGAGGTGATGAAGATATCCAACCAACCAACCAACAACAACAACATCATCATCAAAGAGAAGAGGCACCAATCAGCATTAACGGGAGAAACGTAAAGGAAGTAATCTCTTTCATCTACCTACCTTGTTAGGCAGTATCGTTTCGAGTACAGGTGTCCGAGGCATATATGAGGATGGAATGTGAAAGTCAGTGAGGATTGTAAAGACAGCAGGACAGGCCTTCTACATTAATGTGAAATCAGTGTGGATATCTACTACACTGCACTCAGTGTAAAGCGTGAACAACATCTGGATTTGTAACAGTACTAATTTCAGTGAAGTCAGTGCTTTTATGTGATGGTTGAGAGACTTGGTGTGTTACGAAAAGCATTTGCGACAAACTACAGACATACATGTTCAACAGCTGCCGCCTACACTGACTCGATACTGAAGTTGAGATGAGAAGGTGAGAAAGAATAAACGAGGAGGAATTTCGGTCTGTCAATGAACCAACTTGAGGAAGCACCCGTTGACCAGGAAGTATGCAGAAGAAGGGAGTGTAGATGGATTGGATTGTACATAGACTGAGAAAGTCGTTTGAAGACATCACGTGTCAGGTCGTGGAGTTGAATGGGAATGGGGAAGCGACGAGTTGTTTGTTGTAGGGTAGAATGATATGGAGGAGATGGTGTGTGAGGAATAAATGAAAGGTTTTGGGTAGTGTTTGAGTTGATTTGAAAATACTGGAGAGAAGAGAGCGAGATTGGGATGTGCCACTGAATCCCTATGTTCCACTAGGCACCAAGTTTCTGAACCATATAGAAGCACTGACTTACTTGACTGAATTAGTGTTGAAAATCTGGATCTTTTTCATGGAGTGGAGTCAAGTGCAGTGCAGTGGCGTACAGTGCGATGCATTAGGTACGCACACTGATTTCGGATTAATGCACAAGGCCTATCCTGCTGTCTTTACAATCCTAACTGGCTTTCACATCCCATCCTTATATATGCCTCGGACACCTGTACTCGAAACGATACTGCCTAACAAAGTAGGTAGATGAAAGAGATTACTTCCTTTACGTTTCTCATGTTAATGCTGATTGATGCCTCGTGTTGCTGTTGATGTTGTTGTTGTTGGTTGGTTGGTTGGATATCTTCATCACCTCCATCTCATCTACACTACATTCACTTGAAGTCCCGTCAACCCTCACCTACCTCTTCTATCAACTTGTTACTTTTCGCCTGTACATCTTCGAGTTTGTGCCACATAAGACATTACACATGAATCATCATCGTCGGCGAAATCCAAATCTTCTTCTAGACTATTTTCATCGGTGAAACAGCCAGTGTATTCCCATCTTCTCGTTTCTCACGGTTTGCTGCATGATCCAGTCGAGTCGAGTCCAGTGCACTCCAGTACAGTCCAGTACAATCGACCACAATCAGGAGGATGATCGGTGATAGTAGACAGCCTTGTCTTACCTGTCAACCTGTCTTCACTTCATTTCACTTCACTTCACTTCAAATGTGTCACTGAGCTTTCCATTGTCAATCACTTGGCATGTAGCCTGATCATATCGTCAGCATATGGCTGCTGTTGAATGAGGTTGATAAAGGTTTGTGGCACTCAGTGTGTAGTGTTGAAGTAGCTGCCTGCCAAATTACTTGTCAGTCGATGTTGTCGAAGTCCTTTTCAAAATCGATGAAGTTGAGGTGGAGAGGTAGAGAGTTGAGTTGACCGTCATTCTACGCTCTATTCTATGATGATGTGTAGGGTTGCAGTTTGGTGCGCATATGATTTGTACTTCCTGAAACCAGTCAGCCAGCCAACCAACCTGTTCCGGTCGTAATTTTAAATGCAATGGATTTTTCAGTCTTTCCAGGATGATGTGGCTTAATATTTTGCTTGGGTTGACAGGCGTGGAGGATGATTCCCCACCAATTCCTGCGAAGTGATTGAAACGCCGTAATTTGGTGTTCACTTTGAGTTGTCTCAGATATCTCTAAGTTGATTGTTGGATCAGTCTGTGAACAGTTGTAAATTACTTACACTTCAAACTTTAGTGAATTTTGACTGATGATGATCATGATAAGTTTACGAAAGCCGAATAGGATAAGCTTATCCTAATAAACTAGTCAAATTGTTTCTTTTCCTTCTGTTGAAGTTATATTTTATCCCTTGTTGTTTGAACGTAGATAGGAAGATTCGATCTAGTTAAATGACCAGTCAGCTGTAGACAAACATTACCAATATGAATCGTTGACTTTTCAAATAGAGCTGTATGTTACAGTGAAGGTGTGAAATATCAAAACAAACGACGAAATAGCAGGATTAAAAACCATTGAAATCTATAGAGGTAAAACAAGGGCAAATAACATTATGTAATATAAAACTGTAAGATAAGAAGTTGGTATCTATGCAGTACTACGAATGATTTTAACCTGTTTCACCTAGAGTCTCCAATCATTTGTTTCTGTTGTCGAAAAATTAACGCTTTTATGCGTTGATTCTAGAAAATTTAGTCTAACCATACTTGCTTCATACTAACTTCACAGTGCGTAATTCACATCCAATCTCTACCTCGACGTACCATGATGCTAGATGAAGTTCTCTCCTATGAATAAGGAATGTAGCAAGGAAAATATTCTGTATCTATTCGCATCTAGGGGCGATATCCAACTTTGCAACTGAAGTCGGTTTCCTCTTCGTCTGAAGTATAAAGGTTTACAAGCTTTCCTATTGTGTGTGTGTGTGTGTGCATGTGTGTATTTGCAGTAAATCGAATCACTGAAAATGGACTATACATTTAATTTAAACGTTGACGGTGTATTCACATTTGTCATCAGTATATCTCCAGGATAAATGAATCATAATGGTCAATTAAGCACAATCATAGATCATTCTTGAAAGTTGTGTTTCAACGAGGAATTGAATTATAAAAAAAGTTTACAAATCATCAGTTGACTATCTAAGATAGCAGCCGTAGTCTGGTAGACTAGTATTTATACTCGATGATAATTGAAGGTGAGATGAAAATATGGATCGTGGCCCCATTCCAGTCAACGACCACCGGGTTTCAGGCCCGATGCTCTACCAACTGACCTACGAGGTCCATCTGCTGAACAGATTTTTATTTCACTTTCAATAACCAGAGGATTTGCACGACCGCTATGTGAATTCGTGTTGCGTTACTGTCGCTTGATCGTTCTCAAGTTGGCTGCACACAGTCAGGACTTCTCATTCCAATCTAAATGTATATGAATTAGAATGAGAAGGGGAACACCATATTGATTATCATTTCGAATATCTGAGATAGCCGTAGTTTAGCAGATTAGTTTTATGCTGGGTGATGATTGGTGAGAAGTCCTGACTGCGGGCAGCCAGTGTAAATACGATCAAGCGGTAGTAACTTGTCATGAATTCACATGGTGGTCGAGCAAAACTGCTTGGTGATTGTAGCTGAGTTGGTTGAGCATCGGGCTAGAAGCTTGGTAGTTGCTGGTTCGAATCCCGCGGTGGTCCAACTTTTCATTTCACCTTTAATCATCATCCAGTGTAAATGTTAATTAGTATATACTAAAGTTCTAGGTACACATTGCAAAATCATCATCTAGTTGATGAATCATATATACGTTAAAAAAAAAGAACAATAAATAGGGTCAGAAAGAATGATGATGATGATACTGACAACGAGGGGAGGAGTGCTGACTGGGGGGCAGGGAAGCAAAAATGTTGTGGAATGAAACACGGAGAAGGAAAAAGAAAGAATAATTTGAAGAGAAAACACACTTGTTAGTATCATTAGCATTAGTTTCCTACTCCTGTTAAATCAAAATGATGGGAAGTACAAAGAACTGAAAAAAAAAAATACAAATACACCACTAACCAGTTCATTATTAAGAGAAATGTAAAATGAAAAAAAAAAAGCAAACTGAAGAAATAAATCAGTTTAATTGATTCAATATGTGTAAACATTTATTAGAAGACGTAAAAAAAAGCATAACATAGAGTAATTCATGATTGATGAAGAGATGGAAAGAGATTGAAATTACCATCAAGATGTATATAGTCGAAAATGACCTCCATAAGGATGATTCATAACATATCTGTTGTATTCATCATGATTATCTGTATTTATATGAAGGAAATACAGTCGAGATCCAATCGACTGTCAATAAGATGCATATAAGGTCACAGTAAATTTGAAGTAGATTGGTAAACAGACATAGTTAAGGTAAATTACGAATGGTGGTTACTTATTACCTCTGTGTTGGCAATAGTAGTAGTAGTAATGATAATAATAATACTAAAACAGGTAGGTCAACTTCTTTAACACTAAGAATTATAAGAAAGCAAACAGACAAAACAAGAAGAAATTCAGGCAAAATAAACACGGCAAAATCAACGACGGTATCATATAAAAATTCTTATACTAAAAACTATACCCGTCGCTCAAGAAGCGGCTATCATGGCTCGATAGTGTAGTGGATAACGTCCTGGTGTTTGAAGCGATCGCTCCTGAGTCCGAATTACGGTGGAAACAACATCACTCCGCACTGGAAGCAGATACATCCAGCTGACTGATGAGTCCCAAATAGGACGAAATGCGCATCCTAAATTCCACTGCTAGCCACGATCTATCATCAACAAAATAAACACTCATGTGTAAACAATTACTACTGGTATCTAATTTAAGCTTTATACAGATTATATCACAAATGTCAGAGCGAAAAGTATTGGAAATCTGGGAAAACTGCACAGCTGTTTCATCCACTTACAAGATTCCAGACGCAGAGACAACAGCGGACATGCTCACACCACTACTGCAGAAGGTTTAGAAAGAAGGAAGGAAAGGTACCTGCTGATTAATTCAAAGTAGGGCTACCTTTTCAAACTCCCAAAGAAGGGAAACCTAAATCTTTACAAGAACTGGCGAGGAATCAGGCTCCACGCCTGTCAACCCCAAGCAAAATATTAAGCCACATCATCCTGGAAAGACTGAAAAATCCATTGCATTCAAAATTACGACCGGAACAGGATGGCTGGCTGGCTGGCTGGTTTCAGGAAGTACAAATCATATGCGCACCAAACTGCAAACCTACACATCATCATACAATAGAGCGTAGAACGACAGTCAACTCAACTCTCTACCTCTCCACCTCAAGTTCATCGATTTTGAAAAGGACTTCGACAACATCGACTGACAAGTAATTTGGCAGGCAGCCACTTCAACACTACACACTGAGTGTCACAAACCTTTATCGACCTCATTCAACAGCAGCCATATGCTGATGATATGATCAGGCTATATGCCAAATGATTGACAATGGAAAGCTCAGTGACACATTTGAAGTGAAGTGAAGTGAAATGAAGTGAAGACAGGTTGACAGGTAAGACAAGGCTGTCTACTATCACCGATCATCTTCCTGATTCTGGTCGATTGTACTGGACTGGACTGGACTGGACTGTACTGTACTGTACTGGATCATGCAGCAAACCGTGAGGAAAGAGAAGATGGGAATACACTGGTGTTTGACCGATGAAAATAGTCTAGAAGAAGATTTGGATTTCGCCGACGATGATGATTCATGTGTAATGTCTTATGTGGCACAAACTCGAAGATGTACAGGCGAAAAGTAACAAGTTGATAGAAGAGGTAGGTGAGGGTTGACGGGACTTCAAGTGAATGTAGTGTAGATAAGATGGAGGTGATGAAGATATCCAACCAACCAACCAACAACAACAACAACATCATCAACAACGAGAAGAGGCACCAATCAGCATTAACGGTAGAAATGTAAAGGAAGTAATCTCTTTCATCTACCTACCTTGTTAGGCAGTATCTTTTCAAGTACTGGTGTCCGAGGCATATATGAGGATGGGATGTGAAAGCCAGTTAGGATTGTAAAGACAGCAGGACAGGCCTTCTACATTAATGTGAAATCAGTGTGGATATCTACTACACTGCACTCAGTGTAAAGCGTGAACAACATCTGGATTTGTAACAGTACTAATTTCAGTGAAGTCAGTGCTTTTATGTGATGGTTGAGAGACTTGTTGTGTTACGAAAAGCATTTGCGACAAACTACAGACATACATGTTCAACAGCTGCCGCCTACACTGACTCGATACTGAAGTTGAGATGAGAAGGTGAGAAAGAATAAACGAGTAGGAACTTCGGTCTGTCAATGAAGCAACTTGAGGAAGCACCCGTTGACCAGGGTGTATGCAGAAGAAGGGAGTGTAGATGGATTGGATTGTACATAGACTGAGAAAGTCGTTTGAAGACATCACGTGTCAGGTCGTGGAGTTGAATGGGAAGGGGAAGGGACGAGTTGTTTGTTGTAGGGTAGAATGATATGGAGGAGATGGTGTGTGAGGAATAAATGAAAGGTTTTGGGTGGTGTTGGAGTTGATTTGAAAATACTGGAGAGAAGAGTGTGAAATGGGTATGTGCTACTGAATCCCTATGTTCTACTAGGAACCCAGGGGACGAGGAAGATAGTAATTATTGATGTGCACGTATTATATTCCAGTCGGTGACATTGTGAACCTTTACTGACTGAATTAACTGGTAAGTGTGTCGAGTACGCATATCTACCGTCTGTTGTAATGCGTCCAATTTAATGTAGGTTGGAAGTAACCTGAAGGTAGTCGTAACATTGTGTGACATCAATTCATGTTTTTTTATTGTTAATATGATCCTTTGTATGGAGATGTAGGCTATGTGACTGAGATCTTTGAGACGATAACACTAAATGGTTGTGGCGGTTCATTGTAGTATGGTCTAAAATTAGTCACAACAGCGCAGATGTCTACTTTTTTTATAATGAATATTTACACCTGAAAGTGAGTTTTTGCTAAGATTTTAGTGGGCGAACGTTCCAATATCATAATGGACATCATCATCATTGGATCATCATCCTCATCTCTCGCTTTTTGTTGTTTGTTTATCTCTAGTCATTTCATAATCTACCAGTTGAATTACACCTAATTCAGTCAGAAATATGGACAATACGTGATTTGATCCCAATAGATGGAAGTATTAAAACGACATTGAATAATTTTGCGCATATGATGATACACCGTCGACGTAAACACTCAAATTCTTCATTATTGACAAAGGTGATAGATTATAAAAGTCTCTTGAATTCTTCTGGTAGAAATGATTCATTTAGAGTAAGAAAATATCTTGATGCATCATTTGTTATATCATATTGACACTTTATTTTGCTGTTATTGTCTCTTTTTTTATCTATTCTCTTCACTTTTTCATTCATTTCAATAATTATGTTGAATGAGGACTTGAAGGATTTGAAGTAACTCAGTTGGATATTGTTCTTTGAACTGGGTTGTTTAATCGTGGAGCTTTCATTGTCTTTCTGGATGACATCATCAACACAATTTTTCACAACATATAGTCAGTCAGCAATCAATAGATGTATAGGCATAGACCGAATCTGTCAACCGATGAGAAGAATGATAGACGACACAAAGGTCAAAGATCAAGCAAAGGAATCTATACAGTCTGTCAACGATACAATAATCAAAGGAAACAACCAATCACGCACAAGGCAGTTGGTCGGCGCAGGCTACTAAATCATTCACGGAGAGATATTGACAACTTACTACTTCATACTGAAGTTAGTGCTGATGATGTCATTGTCTAGAAAGACGATGAAAGTTTCTCCACCTTAAGGAACACAATATAATCAAGACCATCGACTCGAGCTACAAATATTCTCGACCATTTCAAAATCACTAGTAGTCAATATTGAACGATGCTCATCTATGAAACTGTAACTGATCCAACTTTTAGGGTGATGAGTCATGAGTACAAACGGTTCTGCAACTATATCAAAGTTTTAGACGACTATTTAGCCACCATTGATCTTCACACAATAGATATACTTCTCTATATGATATAGGAATCTTTTTCATGTTTAAGATATTCATATTGTAATACAAGCTACCCTTCCCTCTAATACTTTGTTTGACATATCATGTTAGCCAGATAAACCAGAACTGGCTTGTCTATGCTGCGGATAACCGACTGACCCCTATCATTGATCAGAATAACAATCATACTTCTTTGTGTAAACGAATGGTGTGAATGGTCCACCGGGATGAAAGCACCCGTGTAAGGTTGCTCCACAAGATGAGACCGTCTACCGTCCTGGTTTTAAAGAGCCTAGATATGTGTTCCGTTCTCTCCTGAAAACCAGTGTATGAATATTCGTTCGAATGACGGGTATACATCATACTGTGAATAAACTGGTTGATTCCACCAGTAGTGTCATATGCTTATCTCAGAGATTAAACCACGCATGTCTCAGTACATACCTTAATACACTGAAACCGCAGATGGCTCATTAAATGACCGGTGGTTTCCTAGATCGTAAACGCTGCATGGATAACTGTAGTAATTCTAGAGCTATTGCATGCAATTATGCCCTGACGCGCAACCAGACGGGTGAATTTATTAGGACAAAACCAACCGGGGGCGTTTCCGCCTGCCCCTGTTACATTCTGTGATGACTCTGGATAACTTTACTGATCACAGTCAGCCTTGTGTTGGCGACGGATCTTTCAAATATCTGCCCTATCAATTTCTTGGTAAGTGATATGCCTAACATTATAATAATGGGTAATAAGGAGTCAGGGTTCGATTCTGGAGAGATATCCTGAAAAATGGCTGCCACATCTAAAGACGACAGCAAGCTCGAAAATTACCCACTCCTAGGACGAGGAGGTAGAGAGAAAAAATACGGATATGCGGCTCAATTGAGGCTTCTTAATTCGAATGAGTACAATTTAAATCCTTTAACGAGGACCAGTTGGAGGCCAAGTTCGGTGTCAGCAGCCGCGGTAACTCCAGCTCCAAAAGCGTATATTAAAGTTGCTGCAGTTAAAACGTTCATAGTTGAATCTGGGTCGTATGATCTCATGCTGTTGATCCTTCATGGTTCTTGGTTATGATCAGGGATTGTGTTCGGCTCGGTGTATTCGCTGTTCAACCTCCCAGCTGTGTTTGTGTTAAAACGGGTGCTGATAAATAGATGAGCTTGTCTTGTCGGCCTGTTGACATGCTTCCGTGTGCCTTCAAACGGGTGTCCAGGGCGGACGGCATCTTTACTTTTAGCAAATTTGAGTGTTCAAAGTAGGCCAATTCGCCTGAAAATTCTTGCATGGAATAATAAAACAGGACTTTGGTTTTATTCTGCTGGTTTTCGGATCCGAAGTAATGTTTAAGAGGGACAGATGGTGGTATTTGTAAAGCGGTGTTATAGTTGGAATTCTAGGATCGCTACCAGACAAACTACAGCGAAAGCATTTGCCAAGGACCTTTTCATTGATCAGGAGTGAAAGTCAGAAGCGAAACTTGTTCAGTTGCTTTACTGTTTCATGGTCCTTGCTACTCTATAAACAGCGGAATACATCCATTTGATCATAGGAAAAGACAAAATGCAGTTACTGCGAAGAAAAATTTTCTTTTCTACAAAGTCATTAACTGCTAAACTGTACATTCGTGAATGTACGTTACGGTAAACAGAACTATTTCCAGTCAGAGGGGAAAACACTGAACAACCAAAGGAAGTTAGTCAATACTAATTATAGTTTAGAGTGGGAAAAATGAAGGGGATTATGAAATTAAGTGTAATTACGTAATACGAGATGAATCTATAACAGTAAATGCCTTATGATAAACACAACAAAGATAAACGTTGGATGTACCTTTTTTGAACTTTGAATAGCTAGTGCTTCAGCCGTACCCAAATGCTTTGATCTTACTTCCTCCGAGTAGTTTGATCGAACCCTGTAGAGGATTTTGAATGAGTTTCCAAAAGGACCTAAATGGCTTGCGTTTTTGGGTGGGTGTATTCCGCTGTTTAAAGCGTATTAACGATCACACAACGGTAAAGGAACTGAATAAGTCGTAAACATTGTTATGTTCATTACAATAAGATCACTCAGTGTAAGCGAAGATATCCTACCGGAATTCAACTTGATAATTTGACTTCATAGTATCAACATCAGAACGTTTATCTTTTCCTATTCAAAACGCATCAGTTGGAACTACCTGCATCCTATTAGATGTCAGTGTCCTCCATGACACTAGAAGCTGGTTAACTAGGTAGACTACTGAGAGTTATGATAGGCACCTCTTATTCAACTGTTATCAGTTGTAACTTTGGTAGTTTGAAGATTTGGCATACAATCGGGAAAACGCAAAAAAACCATAAGTCTTGTGAAGAGTTCAACCGAGGGCCATTAGATGTCCTGGCAAGCAAGTTACCATTCAGCCACAGGATCTCGATTCACTGGCGGAATGACAGCTTTCTCGCCATGAGACTTGATGACCCTGGAGGGTGAGGTCATGGCTGTATACTACTGAGGAGTGTTGTTCCAGGGCGAAACAGCCGTTCAGTGTTCTCCGGTTTCCAGTAAATCTACAACCGATGTCTATCCTTCATATTTGAATATCACTTTGAAATTGATTCATCAATCCCGAGGAATCTCCGAATTTATTATAGTTGAGGTAGTCAGTATTATGGATAGAGAAAATTGAATAAAACTGTTACTGGGTCCACGTGATTAAATCAATCTGTCTCCGTTGAAGGGATAGCTTGATATTATTCTTGAGTAAACATATCCTGGGTACTGTAGTTACCAAGGATCATCTATGATAACTGACAATTCTGAGATTTCAATGTGTGTGAAATATATCCAACAGGATATCAAAAAACAAGTATATTTTAACAAAGAATCTCTTTTCGGCGATCTTATTTTCAAAGCTGTACAATCGCAAATTTATACATTTTTCTAGTATGAAATTTTCCATATCTCTGGTATAGGTGTGACGTCATTTCTATTACATGTGTCGGGTGTTGGCTGATTCTTGAGTTTGGCGCCTTAGACTGCTCGGCCACCTCGACAGTCAGGTATAGAGTTTTAGGAAGTAGAGGTAAGTCCGTTGACGAGGTTATGAACCTTCATCGACTGAAATGGTTGGGACGTGTACTACATACACCTAGTCACCAATCACCTCGTCACACAATGTTGGTCGAAGTAGGTCCAGGCTGGAAAAATGCCCGAGGTGAACAGACTAAAACATGGCACCAATGTATGAAGTCTCTGACTGTTGGTTTGAGCCATGTTGGGTGGGGGTGATGCAGACTAGGTGGTTGGGGTGCGCAGGACAAGAGGAAACTCTAGTGGTTGGAGACTGAGTGTAGGTGATATTGATGAGAACCGATGTGAGTGGCGCAGATGTATCCTCACACAAAATATCCTTATCTTTACGGTATGCTGAATCTCACCGTTTTCTCATTCTTTCTTTCTCTCTTTTTGTACTTTATATTTCTTTTGATTGAATTTTCTTATCTTCATTTTTCATCTCATTACCTTTTTTACTTGATCTGGTGATACGAGGTGTAGCAAGTTGGATCTTTACACAGTAATACCTTGTCCTATGTTGATATCGATGATGATGATGATGATGGCTGATTCAATGAACAAAGCTTCAATAATCACCCTTTCTCTCGCCACCTAATTACATTGGACTTAAGTACAATGGTTTTACCTCACTCTATTGTATAGTTGTGTGGTAATGTATATATTGCAATAACCGAATTCTCTTCTACATTATTGATCCTACCGGGGTCTGTTATTCTGTATTTAAGAACAAGATATTCAGCGAAGAGACTCTTTTCAACGAATTTATTTTTTAGCTGTACAATCGTATATAGCTTGAAAATAAATTCGTTGAAATGAGTCTCTTCGCTGAATATCTTGTTCTTAATGTTACAATGGGAATTATTAAATTATTCTGTATTTCACTAAATTCCTATGTCTGAGATGAACTGTGTCATATTAAGTATCCGATAGATTCAATTACAAAAGAACAAGTAAGTATTTCACCGAAGAGTCTCTTTTCCACGAATTTAATGGTTAAAAACGGCTTGCCAAGCATGGTAATATAAATATCGAATGTTATAAGGAGAATATTCTTTGGATCAACACTCAGACTAGTATTCTCTTGTCATCCAACGATTTCTAACAACTCAAAGGAGAAACTTTGGCATCTAATCACTTCTATGTGTATATATCAATTCACCTGATCTTTTGAAGCCAGGTACATAGGTTGTTCGATGTGACTGTTATCCAAAAGGGTTCAAGACGACTATCCCACGTGGTTACAAAGAGGTAACAATGGAGGGATAAGGAGTGCGATAATTGAACACTACATCGAGAACATGAATCACGCCACCTTAAGAACCTGCTCATTCAAGGTCATCTATAAAAAGTGAAAAGAAATTTCCCAAGGCTGTATGTCATCATATTGTTTGTATCGTCGAAGCTCTTATCATCCGAATAGAGAAACCTGAAGTGTGTACATAAAAGAAGATTGTTCAACCGCTTCTCCTTTCTCATGGTCTTAGTTCTCAGTCTCTTCTACACCTCCACCCCTTTTGTTTTCATTTTTCTGTTTTGATATTATTCACTTCTTAAGTAATTTGTTACTCATTCTTGGCGCTATGCTCTGCCTGATTACAATTCAGTTTTCAATTATGTCGTCATATTACTTCTTTTTGTCTAAACTTATTTTGATTAATATTCACTACTCATGACACCTCATATGAGTGTATAAATTTGAAAACGAAATCACTGAAACAAGACTCTTCGATGAAATACTTATTATTCGTTGTATTGACTGGTTACGGGAGAGCAACCAGTTTGATGTTATGTAATCGTGAGTACAGATCTAATCCTATTGATCCTATTTGCAATGTGACCACCAAGGTAGTAAGCTCAGCATCGTGGTGCAAATTAGTAGATATTAGTTGGTTGTAGGTAATCGGCAGGAAGTCCTGCCTCACCTTCGTTTTGTGCTTGTTGGCACTCGTCAGCAAGGCGTATCTGCAACCTCGACGGAATTGATGTCTTGTCTGAGATTCAAACCCGCGTCACCCAGTGTTGTAGACAGTGGCCTTATCACTGAGATGAGATCATCATATAAGGAATTGATATGCCTACAAAATATAATATTGAGTTCATATAACCTCTACATGATGTCTGACTTTATTATTTGTCCCGTGGGTTCCTAATGGAACATAGGGCTTCAGTAGCACGTCTCCAGTGCACTCTCTCCTCTGCAAACTTTTGAACCTGGTTCCACGACTGCGCACAAGCTCTCATTTCTTCCTCACACGATCTCCTCCATGTCACCCTCAACTAGGACGCCCAACTCGTCTCTTCCCATCTGGTTCCACTCGAGGGTTTGATGCGTGATGTCCCCAGTCAGCCTTCTCAGTGTATGCCCAATCCATCTCCACTTTCTTCCAGTGCATATCTGTTGGGTGATAGGTTCTTCGTTGGTTCGTTACCAGGCCAGAGTTCCTTGTTGCCTATTCTTATTATTGTGGCCATCTGAGCTTCAGTAAGTAACCAGCCAGTGTAGGCAGTTGTTGATGAATGTGTGTAGTTTGTTGGAAATCCCTTTTGTAACGATGTCTGACTTTACACGTACGAATTAACACAGTGTTGTCAGCATTTGTACTCCTCTTCTTATGCTACATAAGAGTATTGGCAATTGTTCTAAAATGAATAATGTTGAATATGAACGGTAATTATTATTTTTTTTTAAAATTTTTAGCATCATCGTATTCATCGACGATCAGTTGCTTCAAGTGATTTCCGTAAACCATCATCGTCATCATCGACAACTACAATACCTTCAAGTAATCCATCGTTATTTACAAAACGTTTTGATATCCAATTATTACTTACTAGTAAACAGTTCACTGATTCAGTTGAGTATTTGGCTATACCAGATAGTATATGTACACCAAGAGCTTTAGGAGTGATTCAAGTAAGCCGTTCTACTTTGCTTTTCAAATATTTTCTTATTTATCTATCTATGTTTTTTTATTGGTAGTAAAATCTTTCATATCTTTGGTGTCAATGTTTCATCATTCCTGTGACATGTGCTCGGTGTTGGTTGATTCGATGGATAAAGATTATGTAATATTGGAGTAAAACTTGAGCACTGTAGTCGATTATAATTCCGTTTAAGTCGGTTTATTAGAAATGTCACATACAGTAAAGGAACAGTATCATTTACTGGATAACGTACGTTTTGGACACAATTTATTGTCCATATTGATATCGTCATCATCATTAATATCAACATAGGACAAGGCATTACTGCATAACCGTCCCAGTTGTCAGACCGCATATCAGTACATCAAGTAACAAAAGTAGTGAGGCGCAAGATGAGGATAAGAAAATTCAATCAAAAGAAATACAAAGTACGAAAAGAGAGAAAGAAAGAATGAGAAAACGGTGAGATTCAGCATACCGTAAAGATAAGGATATTTTGTGTGAGGATACATCTGCGCCACTCACATCGGTTCTCATCAATATCACCTACACTCAGTCTCCAACTACTAGAGTTTCCTCTTGTCCCGTGGACCCCAACCACCTAGTCTGCATCACCCCCACCCAACATGGCTCAAACCAACAGTCAGAGACTTCATACATTGGTGCCATGTTTTAGTCTGTCTACCTCGGGCATTTTTCCAGCCTGGACCTACTTCGACCAACATTGTGTGACGATGCAATTGGTGACTAGGTGTATGTAGTACACGTCCCAACCATTTCAGTCGATGAAGGTTCATAACCTCGTCAACTGACTTACCTCTACTTCCTAAAACTCTATACATGACTTCTGCATTACTCACGTGGTGACACCACGGAATACGGCCTATACTCCGAAGGCAACGGTGGTCAAACACCTGCAGCCTTCTCATGTTTTCCACATTCGATGGCCATGTTTCACAGCCATACAGCAGAATAGACTGGACTGCTGTGCAGTACACGTGACCCTTAATACACAACCGGATATCATGGAGGCGCCATAGGTGGCGTAAGTTGACTAAAGCCAACCGAGCCTTTTGTATCCGTGCAATATTCATATCAACAGGGTAACTTCACAACTATGCAACAGATCTTATATAGTCTTAATTTTCTCTCCTTCTATATGATGACAAGGGTAATAGTATCTTCCATATATATGGGGCAGGTGCAGAATCATTTCTGTTACTGCATATATTTGATGTTGATTCGATAGACAATGATGGTTCGGTCATCAATCCCTCCACCCAACTAATTTAGTTTTTAATACTGTCGCTCTATCCTACCCTATTGTGCAACTACGTAAGTAGCTAATTACGTAGTGGGAGAGTTTTTCTTCTAGATTTCTTATCTTATTAGGATCTACTAATCTTGATTTAGGTAAGTTTTTGTGCTTTGTTATTCTAATTGACCCTAGTCGACCTATGTAGTTGACTTGGTAATCATTGCATCAACGGGATCATCTAACCTACGAAGCTTGTTTTTAGGCCAGTTTGTTGGTTCAAATACCACTATAATCCCAGCCTTATAGAAAATTCTTCGTAATGCTTCTGAAGTGTTTTCCTTGTATGGTAACAAAACAGAGCCTTTGAATTCTCTCTGAATCCCGTCTCCATCATTACAATTACAAGTAGAAGTATTATTAATAACATCTGTGTTACTAGTACTTACTGCTGCTATAGTAAATTATACTGTTTCATTCTGTGACATCTCTAATAAACAGACTAAAATGGAAAGATTGCGTAATCAGTCTCTTTCTCCCCCACCTAATCGGACTTAGGTTACATCGCGATAGGCGAGTTTTTTTTCTACATTACTGATCCTATTGCGGTCTGTCAGTCTCATAATCTTACTGACCCCGACCGGCTAGTTTGACCTATATGTTATATATTCCAGTCATTGTATGTAATTTAGTAGATTGGATTACTTTCCTCAATTGAATCCGTCATAGATTCTTAGGCTGACTAAGCTTTGTTCTGAGTAAGTTTGCAGGTTTGAAAATCTCAACCTTATTCCAAATTTGTTAAGAATTCTACATCAAGTTTCTGATGAACCTTCCTTATAGCGTAACACAATGGAGGCCTTGAACTTATTTCTACTCGTGTTACTGTTATTATTTCGGAACAAGAGAAATTTAAATGAACAGTTGTTTTCAATAACCTCTTCTTCTTCAGACTCTGCAGTTATAAATCTATAAGAATAATGTATTTTTAAGACGAATGGAGATTTTAATTTAGAAGTAGTTTTCATCATGGACTGATATTAGTTGGGGAACTATTGAAAATGTGGGAGCACTGGACAGGTGTTTCGTCCTAGTATGGTCCTCCTCAGCAGTACGCACCCACCATCCGGCTAGGGGTCGAACTCAGGACGTTCAGCTTTCACAACGAACGTGTTAACCATTTAGCTACTGGGTCGCGCCATATCGTGAATCGATAGAAGTTGGAAATTGTGAACCACTGGAAACCGACCCAGTGGCTGAATAGTTAACGCGTTCACCGTGAAACCTGAAGGTCCTCAGTTCCATCCCTAGCCGGGTCATGGGTGGGTGCGTACTGCTCAGGAGTCCCATACTAGGACAAAACATGTGTCCAGAGCTCCCAGATTTTCGATGATTCCCCAACTGATATCACTTCATGATGAATACTACTTCTATAAGAATAAGTAAAATACAATAACCGAAATTATACATCATGTACAATTTTACTATATTGAGACAGTTATTGTTATGTGTGAATGGGAGGGAGATCAAGTCGAGTGGAATAATGGGATGATAATCAGTTTAGTGTGTTATTTGTGCAATGTAATCACTATTGTCAGGACAATTATGAAATGAAGAGACAAAATCTACAGATGATGATTCTGAGGGAGTTGTGGAGATTTGGAATTATTTCAAGTTCTTATTCATCGTAGACTGACATCAGTTGGAGGAACAGAAGTTGGAAATATGGAGCATTGGATTCTGACCCAGTGACTAGCTCAATGGTAACACGCTGGCCGCGGAACCTGAAGGTCGCGGGTTCGATCCCTGCTGGTGGGGTCGTGGGTGCGCACTGCTGAGGAGTCCCATGCTAGTCGGATGAAACAGCTATCCAGTGCTCCCTGGTTTCCTTTGTTCCTCCAACTGATGTCAGTCTACGATGAATAACAACTTGAGATGATGATTCATTTATATACATTCACTGGGGGCATGAAAGTGTGTTTGTTGTGATAAGTTATATTCAGGTGGGACGAAAATCATGTGAATACTTTAACGACAAAATAGAGAATAACAAATGTGAAGTATTACGTCACAGTTGAAAATGCCTACAGGTTGTGGTATGTATAAAGTAATGGCAGTATAATAGAAAGGGATAGAAGGTTAAAATGTGCAATTTGTTGTAGGAAAATCCATAAAGAATGTGTCAACCCTGTTATGGGCTAAGATAAACAAAGTGGATGTACATATTTCGTAATTTTGTGTATTCATACGAATTTCTTAATAAACTGTAGAGGATAATCGTTAATTGTATTGATTGATGACGGGAGTGCAACCAATTTCATGTTGTCTAGTTCTGAGTGCAGACCGAATTCTATTGATCATATTCGCAATATGGCCACCAAGCTAAGGAAGCTGAGCATCGAGGTGCAAATTAGTAGATGCTAGTTGGTTGTAGGCAATCGGCGTGGAGCCCTGCCTCACCTTGGTTTCGTGCTTTTTGGCACTCGTCAGCAAGGCGTATCTGCAACCTCGATGGAACTGATGTCTTGTCTGAGATTCAAACCCGCGTCACCCAGTGTTGTAGTCACCGGCTTTACCACTGAGCTATTCTGGCCGCGATTGACCTCCTGTAGGACTGGCTTACATGTATTGATTGTTCACGGGAGTGCAACCAATTTCATGTTGTCTAGTCCTGAGTGCAGACCGAATTCTATCGATCATATTTGTAATGTGGCAACCAAGCTAGGAAGCTCAGCATCGTGGTGCACCTTAGTAGATGTTAGTTGGTTGTAGGCAATCGGCAGGAAGCCCTGAACCTACAAGAGGTCAATCGCGGCCCGATTAGCTTAGTGGTAAAGTCGCTAACTACAATACTGGCTGACGTGGGTTTGAATCTCGGGCGGGACATCAGTTTCGTCGAAGTTGCAGATACCCCTCGCTGACGAATGCCAAGAGGCACGAAACCTAGGTGAGGCAGGGCTCTCTGTCGATTGCCTCCAACCAAGTAACAATCGTTAATTATTAACGCTTCTATTACATGTTTCAACTTCTTGTTTAAGTCCTTACAAGGACTAATTAGGGTTTTTAGCTCTGTCATTTTTACATTTGACTAAACCTGCCTTACCTGACATTGGATGAGATATGATACTCGTTAGAATGTGTCGGTTTTCTGCAGATGGTAGTATCCAAACCGTCGTCTGTCTTTCGTTTTATCCTACAATCCAACATAGATAATTCTGGAGCATTTCAAGTTGTTATTCATCGTAGACTGGTATCAGTTGGAGGAGTCCCATACCAGGACGAAACAGCTGTCCAGTACTCCCAGGTTTCCTTTATTCCTTCAACTAATGTCAGTCTATGATGAATAACAACTTGGAATATTTACAAATCTCCACAGCTCCCTCAAAAATTCAATGGAACTGGTGCTCATTAGTGACTAGCTTCCAGAAGTATTCTCGAAGTTCCAATGAGAAGTCGTGACCGGTGGAGTCAAAGCCTGATGGTCGTGAGGACAGTTACTCAATGATGACGTTGGGTGGTGGTTGCGCTATATCGTGAGCTAACAGAAGTTGGAATAATGGACGATTGGATTCCACCGACCCAGTGACTAGCTCAATGGTAACGTGCTGGCCGCGGAACCTGAAGGTCACGGGTTCGACCCCTGGCAGGGTGGGGTCGTGGGCGCGCACTGCTGAGGAGTCCCATACTAAAACGTAACAGCTGTCCAGTGCTCCCACATTTTCAATCCTTCCCCA